CTTTAAACTAGCGTGTGGCAGGACTTTTAAAAGAATGCTTCTGTTACGGTTCTGGGTTGAATAGGGTTTGGGTCACGTGATTGTTTCAGTTAGTGTTTGAGGATCCAGCTTATCTGTCCTCAACACTCTTCCACTCTCTTAGTTCTTTGTCTATTATTCACATACTAGTGCGTACGTCTTGATTCCATTGTCCTGAGTGCGTGCTGTAACAGCTTCGTAGCTTCCTGCGAATCCAACTAGCCAAGAATTAACTCAATTGATTCATTATTAGTGATATTATAGGTCGTTCAAAAAGGTGAGGAAGTTTTGGGTGCGCTAAGACCGAATACTTTTGGTCTGCGACTGTACAGCACGTCATTCCATGATTATCAGGTAATTAAAGTTCTCCACGTTAAGAACGGATCTTGAGTCTATCCGAACTGATAGCCTTATACGGCTTACTGATATTACAAATACGCAGAGCTGTCAGCTTTCTCTCCATCGAATTATTGCTAACTCCCGCCGAACGCAGTATGCTCCATACACAGCTTGCAAATATTGCTAGTATAGCTTCGGATCCGAACGTCCCATTTGAAATTTCGGACATCGGAAGTTCGGTATACACGTTCCCAGTCTATCCACGCGAAAGGTTCGTAGATCTCGGAATCATGTAATGAGCAATGCATTGAACGAGCGTTTCGATCCGAACCCCATAATTCGGCACATGGGTAGTAGCATCGTTCGGATCCTTCCGAAGCCTTGCATCTCGCCCTATGGACAAATCACAGCATACGATCGTGGCCTAGGGGACAAGAGCTCACGGATGTCAGATTTTCCGAGTTCTAGATGAAAAATAGTTGAAGACTTATCCGTACTACATAACACTTGTAGCTTCCCCATATCACCACTACTTTTGGCCTTTATCACTGATATTCTGATACCTTTCGATATTCAAGCAAGAAAGCAAAAAATCATGTCGGCTATTCCGCAAGAAACTTCCGTGCTGGTGATCGGTGGTGGCCCAGCTGGCTCCTATGCAGCCTGCGCTTTAGCTCGTGAGGGAGTAGACGTCACAGTCTTGGAGGCAGATATCTTCCCAAGGTACGTCGTGGCTTTCCTCATATCTCACATTAGATGAGACGAATTGGTGCTGAAAAGACTTGCAGATATCATGTCGGCGAGAGCATGCTTGCTTCTCTCCGTCCATTTCTCCGGTTCATTGACCTAGACTCTACATTCGTGAATCATGGGTTCAAACGGAAGGTAAGAGGAATACACACTTTTAGAGAGTATATATTAACTATATTCACAGGACGGTGCAGCGTTCAAGCTCAACCAAAATAAAAGGGAGGGCTGTGAGTCTTGTATCCGTTATTCATTAGTATGTTGATGATTGCTAATGAAGGAGCATAGGGACTGACTACGTTGCCGCCGGCGGGCCAGAGGCATACACATGGAATGTGGTCCGTTCCGAGTCCGATGACCTCACATTCCGGCACGCGGGAAAAATGGGCGCCCATATTTTCGACGGTGTAAAGATTGAGTCTATTGATTTCAGCGGAGAGTCCGATATCAAAGTCCCTGAAGGCGGCAAAGTCGCAAATCTCGGGCGTCCAGTTTCTGCAGACTGGAAACGCAAAGACGGTACCACCGGCACGATTAAATTTGAATTTCTAGTTGATGCGAGCGGGCGAGTGGGCATAGTGTCTAACAAATACTATAAAAATCGTAAATACAATCAAGGATTGAAGAATGTTGCGCAATGGGGTTACTGGGAAAACACTGGTGTCTATGCCGAAGGCACCCGGAGGCACAACCAGCCATTTTTTGAAGCACTTACAGGTATTTCCGTAACTTTTCTTTTCCAAGGCCTACGACGACAGCGCCACTAATACATATTTTCCAGATGCGAGCGGCTGGGCCTGGTTCATCCCCCTACACAATGGCACGACGTCTGTTGGCACCGTCCAGAGACAAGATCTCCAGGTCGAGAAAAAGAAAGCAATGGGTTCCCCATCCCCCGTCGAATTCTATAAGGAATCCCTGAAGCTAGCGCCAACTGGATGGGATTTCATCAGCAAAGGCGAATTGGTTTCGGATATCAAACATGCATCAGATTGGTCTTATAGCGCCTCTGCGTATTCCAGTCCATATACACGCATTGCCGGTGATGCAGGTTGTTTCATCGACCCATACTTCTCCTCCGGTGTCCATCTGGCCTACGCAGCCGGTCTCTCTGCCGCAATGACAATCCGCGCTGTCCAGCGCGGCGATGTCGATGAGCTCACTGCCGCAAAGTGGCATTCGAATAAGGTCGCTGAAGGGTACACGAGGTTCTTACTTGTTGTCATGAGTGCCACGAAGCAGATAAGAGGCGGCGAACAAAACATCTTGAGTGATTGGGACGACGATGGTTTTGACCTTGCTTTCGACGCCTTCAGACCGAGTATGACCCCTTTTGTCCGATGATCGTTTAGAAATTCGTCTAACTATCCATATAGTCATCCAAGGCACCGCCGACGCCGACGTCAGTGGAAAACTCACCCACGAGGAAGTAGTCAAGACCGTAGACTTCTGTCTCGAAGCCTACAAAGAAACCTCGCCCGAAGAGCGCAAAGCCGTTCTCGACAAAGTCGCAACCATCACCGAAGGCAACAAAGGCGTCATCGACGAAAAAGCGAATCTCGAAAGCTTAACCGAAGATGAATTGAAGATCCTGAACCACATCCGCGCGAAGCAAATGCTTAGATTCGAGGATACCCTCAATCTCAATCACTATGGCGCTGATGCTATTGATGGTCTCGTACCGAATCTGAAGACGGGGAAATTGAGCCTTGTTCCCGAAGGATACAATAGGTTGTCGAAATTGGAGGTTCCGACTCTTGATCTGTTGGATCAGGTGAAGGAGAAGGAGCCTGAGCCGATCTTTGCTGCGGCTTGAGTGTCCACTACTTGAAATATTTTTGGTGGTAGCAAGGCGATATTCTGCCTTATCCATTCCTTCATTTACTGTATTCTCAGTGTCACGGTCTAGATCGGTCTTTCAAATCTGGAAGATAAATACTCTTTGAATTTGAGATTTTCGACTTCGCTTTCATCTTGCCCCCTTTATCGTAACGAGTACTAAAATCGCAAGGCCATGATTGAGAGACCATCAAGCAGCTCAAGAGATGACGACTTTCATTAGCTTCTATTAGCCTTCATGAGGGTTTTCTATGGAAGAGCTTAAGGACTTTGGTCAGCCAAAGAGATAAATATGGCCCCAGTACCCACTTGACCTCGCCTATTCCCTCGAGAAGTGGGTTATAGCGCAACGCGTGAAAATATCTTGGCATTATTAACTCAACATTTAATTAATTAATTAAAAATCAACGCCATGACCAATTGGGCTTAGAAGAGGAGAAAAAAATTAAAACAATCATAGATCTCTTGTCTGAAAATCCTAGACTCAAAAAATCAGTATTATGCTAAAAATTTTGCATTCATCCCGACAAGCTTCGACGCCGTATGCATGGCACCCCCGATGCGCGCAGTGCAGGAGGCCACAACACTAGGCTAAATACTATTCAAGAAGAAGGATTAAAGCAGTATGTGTCTTATCTGATTAAGATTGGTCAAAATCCTAATCTACAGAGCCTACAGCATGGTGCAAATCGAATACTGGCACAAGGTGGGTTCACTGGCCATGGTGTGTCAAAGAATTGAGCAAAGAAATGGCTGGCACAACACCAGGACTGGTTCAAAACACAATGGTCTAGAACGATTGCAATGAAGAAAAAGGCTATACACAATAAGGAGGACATTATGAAGCTTTCCAGGACTTCCAGCAAGCAGTGAAGAAGTGGGGTATTGCATATCAGGATATATACAATATGAATAAGACATGCTTTCGAGTGAGTTGCATGGCAGGGAGATATATCATTACACATGCTAGTACTTAAAGCAACCTGTCTAGCAAATCCAAATTGCAAAAATTAGATCACTACTATTGAAACTATCTTTGCAAAAAAATATTAACGAAATTAAAACGAAAAAATAAATTAATAATTAATATTTTAAATAACGATGTAAACTAGGCAGCGATTAAGCCGAACTAAGTCGAGATTAAGCCGAGTTTGATTTTTATAATTTACAAAGGATACTGCGCTAATTAAAAAAGGAAATCGAGCGAAGTTAGTCGGGAAGTTATAATAGCGGAGATATCCTCGAGCGAATAGATTACCGGTCAATTACAAAGAGTGTATTGCGCATCAAAAGGTGATGGAGGCACTCTACCAAGTAGAGGAAGCATACCCACACGTGGGAAGGAGCATGAGGGACAGGTTTTCCCCAGGAGAGTTGAGACAAGACGAAATAACAAATTGGGAAGGATACAACAACGACTGTCAAAATTCGACTATATCCGAGATCCGAGCTGTTATCCCGTTTCGGGTTCGGGTTCAGGTTCGGATTCCCTGAAACTGTCCCGATGAGCCTGAGCGGTACATCGGTTCCTGTTCCTGGTAAATACGTCCCGATCAGCCCGAGCGGTACATCGGTTCCTGTTCCTGGTAAATACGTCCCGATCAGCCCGAGCGGTACATCGGTTCCTATTCCTGGTAAGTACGTACCAAATCACATCCCCAACTTTTCCTGACCGCAGGCGGCTAGTCCAGAATGTTGCTTGGGGCTGTTCAAGGGCGGCTGTTCGGTTAACGACGCTTCGGTTAACAGCCTCAGTTCGGCTGAGCGGTCTGTTCCAATGAACCGTCGATCACCTTCCAATCACTAATCCTAGCCGTTGCTGGTAACAGGGATCTAATACCCATACTGCAACAGCCTCATAATAAGGACTCTCCGCAATGCATCGATGTAACTGCACTTTGCTTCTATTGCAACTATGGCACCCGTTAGTACTCTACAAAATGGGCTATCACAAAACGGGGTTTCACACGAAACCGTCTCACCAGATACTGATGTGAATTCTGTTCTGAGTTTAGCAAACAAGGTTTCTGAACTGGCTGTGCTTCAGACCCATCAAGTCCCTGTTCCCCAAGAAGAGTTCTTGCAGGCAATCCAGCGCCTTCAAATCGCAGTCGAAGGGCCCGCGCACTATGTCGCAAGAAAGAGACATGAGGTACAATATAATACGCTGGCTAGCTAAGTAGATCAATGCTAAGCTTTTCGCCCATAGCCAAACGAATATGCTGCTACCCTTCTTGCTATCGACTCGGGTGTCTTGGAGGCTCTCGTAGACAACGGAAGGAAGCCACTCTCGGCGCAGGAGCTTGCAAAGAAGTCCAAGACCGACCCGCTTCTTATAAGTAAGTACTTTTGGATTGCGGCTAGAAATGACCACTGACATGAGAAGCACGTTTCATGAGAATCCTGACTGCTATCGCCCTATTTGACGAAGTTGATCTGGATTTGTATAGAAGCAACGAAATATCGGAATGGCTCGCAAGACCTGGACAAGCTGATGGGTATCGTTTAATGTGGGACTGAATTATTTTCATTTACAAGTCTTTATCTGATCGATGCGACAGTGCGAGATGGATACTCCCTATAACCAGCAACGTTAGTTCGCTGTGGAAAACTGATCGACTCTTTCAATTCCCGGACGAAAGCAAAGGCGAACACAATCCCTTCATAGAGACCTTCAAGACAACTCAATGGGACATGTTGCGCAAAGATCCTGACCTAAAGCGGGCGTTTGACAGCTACATGCCCATACGTCGGAACGGACTGCGAGTTCCCTGGTATGAGATCTATCCCGCCGCAACAGAGCTTGATATTCAGGGATACTCCGAACAACATGAGCCACCTCTACTCGTCGATGTCGGGGGTAATACGGGGTACGAGTCTGCGAGTTTCAAAGCAGCAAATCCACATATCAAAGGTCGTGCCGTCGTCCAAGATTTAGCCGAAACACTGAATTCTTCTGTCGCTCCGGAAGGGGTTGAGAGGCAGGTGTACGATTGTTTTACTCCTCAACCAATCAAAGGTATGTCAAGGAACATGCGATCAAATGACCCACTTCTTTTTCACTAACGCGACTCAGGCGCTCGAGCCTACTTCATGAAAGCACTCCTTCATGATTTCGATGATGCAGAGAGTCGACGCTTGCTGCGCCACACAGTGGATGCCATGGGCCCCGAGTCCTCCCTCCTGATCGACGACTGGGTCCTTCCGGATACTAATGCTCCTGTGGCTGGAGGCACGTATGATATCATGATGTGGCTGCTTCTGTCAGGCATGGAAAGAAGTGAGGGCCAGTGGAGAGCTCTTCTGGAATCACTTGGGCTGGAAATCAAGAGGATTTGGAGGAAAGAGGGCGTAGGCGAGGGAGTGATCGAGGCCAAGAAGCGATAAGCGTTGTATCAGCGTTCGCCGGACCTGAGCATCTCTCAGTTTAGATGGTATGATTTCATTGATATCTTTATGTGGATGCTTGTATTTGAGGTCCGCTCGTGACGCAAAACGTAGAAGGCTCCCTCAACTCCAAGGACTCGTACTTTGTAAGATGGTCATGTCGAGGAGAAACCAAAGCTCCAGATTTAAAAGCAGGACCTTGCTGCCCTGACATCGAAGGTGCTTATCTGCTTCATACTTGGCGAATACGACGTGTTCCCACAAGATGTGCTATTTTCCGTGGAGAACAATCTCTAAATATAGCCCAAATACCCACCTGACCTCGCCTACTTTCTTAAATAGGTCACAACGCAACGCGTTTTTTCAGCGCAACGAGTGAAAATATCTTAATATATATAAGTAAAAATATTAAAATATTAATATTAAATCTAATTATAAATATAAATTTATAATTTTAATTATAATCTAACGTCTGTCCCTGCGTGCCGAATGTGACGGTTCCTGCCTTACCTGGAAGTAAGGTCACGTGGGTTGGTATGGTAGATGAAGTAAAGTAGGCAATAGTATTGAAGTCAAGAATGATAATCAAGTTGAGCACGAAGCTCCTACCTAATAGCAGAAATGCCAGTCTTATATAGAACCTCTGCTTCCCCGCGCCAGCCGTGCTAGACAATCTAGCACGTCGCTGCTAGCCATGCTAGCCGGGCTGGCAGAGCTAGCACATCACGTGACACTTGTCCCGTGACTTGCTGGTCGCTCATTCCTACATCCAATAAGCCGTCTGGTTGTTTACCTCATTAAACGTTCAACAGTCCAGTGCGTTCCTGGGACCGTACGTGTCCTGGGACCGTACGTGTCCTGGGACACGTACGCCCAGGATTCCTCCGTATCCTGGGATCCCGCAGGGTCCCAGGAACGCGATCGTGACACCGAAACGCACCCCGTAACGAGACAAATCCATAGTTTACTAATCACAACTTTTATCTTAGTAGGTCTATGAATTTGTGCTTAAAATCTTACTCTCTTTAATTATTTCTCCCTAAGGAGACCTCTTAGCAAGAAGAAAATAACTATGGTTGGTTGTGCTATCGATCGTTTCAATCGCAACACTGATCGCCGTTTCGGCTATACCCCTATGCTTAATCACGACCATTAAAGTCTCTTCAAAATTCGGAGCACTTAAAGAAAGGTTCTATATCTAAAAAATATAGCTCTAGATTTTGAAGATACTTAAAAAGGAAAATAATGTAGTTCGAGAGTTACTCCGATGTGAAGAGACGGCCTTAGGTTTTGGTGCTTAGTGACGTACATTAGCCGAGTTATAATTTACTAAATTCACTCCCGTTCTCTCTATATTTTAATTAGACACGATTCTCAGGCCTGCCTCTTAACCATATGTGTGGCGTAAGGCGAAGTTTCTCGAACATTCTATCAGCTGATAGCTTAGTAAGCTTCTACTGATCGGCGCTAGTGGGGAGAAGAGTGACTGTTCGGGGTTATTACAACGGCGGTTTATTCAGGACTAGAAGTTGAAGGAGATGTTTGATCTATTCTCTAATTACATTAATACGTGTAAGTTAATAGCAGAACCGTGAGAAAGAAGCTTTTATAGCTTATCTAATATTTAGCCGCCTCCCTAGCTAGCGAAGTTTCTGTTTAAAAGGCCTCGATTTTGCTGCTCTAGGCTCCGTAAACTCATCTTGGCCTACTTTCGACTCAGCAAACGCAATTTGCAACGCTTGAAGCCGATCTTTAAGTTGCTTACACCGTTTCGAGGAAGGTCCTTGAACGGTTATGTATCCAGCTAATGCCCGACTATACATTACATTCGCCAAGTCTTTCCGCCCTGTCTGTGAGAAGAGATCGCCAAAAGCAAACTTAGTGTCTAACGCTAGTAAATATGAGGGCAGAAGCTTAGGACCAAGAGCGTGCTCGTAGCCTTGTAGCGCTCGATTAAACATCTTCTCGGCCTCCGCTAGCTTGCCTTAGTTAGCGTAGAGGGTGCCTATGTCAGGGGTTGAACCCCATAATGCTTCGGCTACGCCTCGCTTAAGCACCAGCCTCCTTATTTTCTTTACGAGTGTAATCTCCGATCTAAGACTTTAATCTTAGAACACTTAGCGTGTGTCGAGGCTTCTTCGAAGCCCCTATTCTGTGTATATAAAGCCATAGCTAGCTAGCTCTTAGTTCTTTATCGAATTCAACGACAGTTTTACCCACTGCCTACGTCTTAAGTGTTCCCTCTTGGCGTAGCCCCTTACATCCTCAAGATTAGCGGGAGTCCTCGACTGAGAGGGACTCCACGTAATTTGACGGACTCCCAGGAGGACGAAGGTTCTATATAAGCGGAGGGATTCCCGTAGTAGATAGGAGCTTCGTACTCAACTCAAATATAGTTTCTTAACACCAAGCTATTAGTAACGAGATTGCATTCTCTTCCCAAAGACCCTTCCTTGATCCCGTATCACTCTACAGCCAACAATCCCGACAGTCAGGCGAGACCGTTACAAGAGGCTTCTCATAAATTAGGCGAAAAAACGACGATGCAATTTGAAAACAGTGTTTAGATAAAGGCCAAATTGCTAACAAATAGCTATATTATGCTACTAATCTTTTATTTTTATAGACTTATAAGCTAGTGTAGAGTTAAGAATATGTAATATTAAGGTACCTGATGATTTTCTCGGCACGCAGGGTTTCTCGGCACGCAGGGAGGGACGTTAATTAATTATTAATTTAAAAAAATAATATTTTTTATTTTTAAATTTAATAAAATTTAAATTTTATATTATAATTTTTAATTATAATATAAAAAAATAAAAAATAAAAAAATAAAATCGTAATATATATAAAATTACGTAAATTAATATAATAAATAAAATAAAATAAAATAATTATATTTAAAATTAAAAATATTTGTCACAGTTCTGGTGTGACTAGTAGTTGTGGTCATGTGATTGTTTCAGCTAGTGTTTGAGGACCCAGCTTATCTGCCCTCAACACTCTTCCACTCTTTTAGTTCTTTGTCTATTATTCACAGATTAGTATGTACGTCTTGATTCCATAGTCCAGAGTGCGTGCTGTCACAATATTAACGAAATTAAATATAAAATTTTTAATTACGAAGCGTAGCCGGCTGTAAGGGGCTACGCCAAGAGGGAACACTTAAGACGTAGGCAGTGGGTAAAACTGTCGTTGAATTCGATAAAGAACTAAGAGCTAGCTAGCTATGGCTTTATATACACAGAATAGGGGCTTCGAAGAAGCCTCGACACACGCTAAGTGTTCTAAGATTAAAGTCTTAGATCGGAGATTACACTCGTAAAGAAAATAAGGAGGCTGGTGCTTAAGCGAGGCGTAGCCGAAGCATTATGGGGTTCAACCCCTGACACCGGCCGTTATATAAAATTTTCTTAATATTACGGTGCTGTACTGGCGCCCTGGCGCCCTGGCGCTAGTCCGATACAGCTAGACCGATGCGGCCGCACCACGTGACCTCAGACCTGTATATTAGTTCAGAGCTTCTCTTTAAGAGCTCTTCACCTTAGAATTCTAAGCACTTACCGCCTCTTGCTGTACAGCTTGCCCTACAGTGACTACCGGTCCGTCACACCTAAGTGCGGAGTCGCTGAAGTACATAGAGTCTTATAAAGTACGCAAAGACTCCAAATACTCCATCACGTGGCCCGAAGCCCGCCTAGTCCCGTGATTGCTAGTCCCGTGATTCGTGACATTTGGCTGCTGCCAGCTTTCCGTATCGTAATATCAGCATTCCCCCAGCACTACAGGTGGTCATGATGGTCCAGACAACCAATATCAGCGTCTTTAGATCAGAATACCGATTTCTCGTCGCCAGTACAGTTCTAAGAACGATATTCATCTTCCTTATCACAACGACACTTTTTGGCTGGTGGGAGCTCGGACGCAGTGTAACCCTGAACCCACTTGAGACGGCGAAGGCTTTTGATGCGCCACTCCTCCGAGGACCTGGTTCGAACCCGCCGTTACCAGCCTTAATGAGAATTGTTGGATCACGGAATGCGAAATTTGGAGAGGTCGAGACATATGCTGATGAACATGTGCGAAGACAGCTGAAGGTAGCGGACCCTGTTGAGGTTGCGAGGCCGCAAGATGGGATTATGTATGAATGAAACTGCCATTGGGGGCATATGCCAGAATCTTTGTAACTGAAACTTAAGTCCAGGTGAAGTTTTGAACTTGGGGGAGTCTATTGGTCTGATCTTTACGGAATTTATATAAATAAACAATGCATTTAGCATTTGCTACCTTTAGCGGAGCGCTTAAGAATTTTAGTTTCGCCAATTACTTCCAACATCGTATAATTTCGAGCTTGGTCGAATACAGATGATAGCTCGTGAACTTTGCTCCACGCTAAAATTCCCGGCTGGCGTTTGAGGGGATAGCATTGTTGAGGCCCTTCCGCATAGCTACGCCAAAATATATATCTCTTTCTCTTTAGAGATTGCCAGACTTACTTCTCGCTTGTCGCGCAGAATAGTGTTGGTGTTAATGCTAACTCCGTCGCTAACTCCAGCTTTCCTCCAGAGTCGCTCGGCCATTTGAATTTGCCGATAAGCTGAACAACATCCTCCATTTTCATCTATAAAGCCGAGTGCAGCTCCAGACATGCGACGTTAGTACAGCAAGCTCTCATAACGATTAACTTTTAGTTCAAGCTCCTCGCCCTGTTAATGTATCACTATGGCTTCCACGATCGTTCTCATAACTGGAAAGCATATTAGATCACGAGTTTGCGCTTATATACTAACACACTCGACAGGTGCAAACTCTGGAATCGGTTTCGCAACAACAAACGTACTAGTCAAAGCATCAAATGCATTCCATGTTATCATAGCTAGCCGCTCTGTCGAGAAAGCCCAGGCTGCGCAATCCGAAATCGAAGCAACTGGGATCAAAGGAACACTCTCAACTATCCAGCTCGATGTAACCGACCAAGAGTCCATTGAGGCAGCCGCCGCCAAGGTTAAAGAAGAATTTGGTCGTCTAGACGTCCTCATGAACAATGCTGGTGTCGGAGGCATAGGCCATGATATGCAAACCGGATTCAAACTTTGCCTGGAAACCAATGTGGTAGGCCCAGCGATGATCTCTGAAGCCTTCCGGACTCTGCTCTTCGAATCGAAGAATCCATACTCAATTTACGTGAGTAGTGGAGAGCGAACGCTTCTACGCAATGCAGCGCAGGTCTTTACTCGGCCCGGGTATGAGAAGGTGAGGGGTAGTGGGGCATATCAAGTTAGCAAGGCCGCGCTAAATATGCTTGTTGTGTTGGAAGCTGGCGAATATGGTCCCAAAGGATTGAAGGTCTTTGCTTTGAGTCCGGGGTTTGTGGTATCAAACTTGAGGGGTAAGAGCGAGGAGGCTAGGACTGGTTGGGGAAAGGCTGGGAATCCGGAAGTCTCTGGTCAAATTGTGCTCGATATTGTGCAGGGTAGGAGAGACGCGGATGTGGGAAGTTTGATTCATAAAGATGGAGTTTATCCTTGGTGAACAATGATTTGAGAGGTTAAGGCAACTATTATATCACTAGTTTTGAAAAAGAATGAGTTTTGTGACTCGCTGCTAATTGTCGACCTCGCTTAGGCGGAATTTAGGTCTTTATGATTTCTCCTGGCCCTTGTAAGCGCCCCGATCACCTTTAGACTACTGCATATGACCTTGCTATCAGCTTTGTGGTTTATGGGTAGCAGCCTGAAGAATAACTCTACTCAGGTCGGAAAAGAAATTGTCTATATATTGACTTTTGTTATCGGTGACGATCGCTTTGCTTCAATTTCTTGTGTATTACATACCTCTCTTGAGTATTGGCAATACTGTATGTTGGCGAGTTGATGCGTTCTTCTCATTGCGCGGAAAATCTGTCACTACAATAGTCAGCTCAGAGGGATAAGGTGGGTCCCGATTGAAGGGGAGCTCGCTAAGCATAGGGGCTCGCTTAGGGCGTTGTGGGGAAATCATGAAATGAAGCGCCCAGGTGAACCATCTGAATGGCGTTGAAACCTGCAAAAGAATACGAACCAGTTGACGCAAGAAGAATCTAATCTTTCAAGACATGATTAAAGAGTTTCAGAGGTGAAAGTGTTGAAGAACAGGGGTTTCTAGCTCAGCGTTCATTCGCTAGATGCTGCTATGCTCAAACTTGAATACTTCTGTGGCTTGGGCAACGAGTACGTCGAAAGCAAGCATTTGTTTTCAATCAACACTGCTCTTAATCGATCTTGACATGTGTCTCCAACCATGTCAGTTTCTGGATGCATGTAGGTCTCCGTCCTTTTATGCGCAGTTCTTTCGCCTGCAGACGGCCCACCCTAACTCACCTCCCTAAAGACCACAAGATTGCATAGCATCGAATCTTCTCAGAACCTCCTTCCCTCATGCATTTGAAGCAGAACAGAGAAATTACTGTCTCTCACGTGTTCATCCAAACATCCCGCTTGTCAGCCCAGACAAGTCGCTTATTTCCCCACCCAATTGAGTCTTGGCACGCTTCAACGTGCTTTTACGCCACGAAGCTCGCAAGTCCTCAAAATAAAGATGTTCTCCAGCCCGTATGCAATCTCAAAAATGAGGAGCCTCTCTTCTGGCGGGGAGATGTCACTACTTTCCGCTGAGTCTGAGACTCGTAAGTGCATAACATTGCGATGTTTGGTTATAAGTAAAGTTGCTTCCACGTTCCGCGAAACAGTAAAGGACCATTCCCTTGCAGTATTATTTCCTTGCGCATTCTGGAATATCAAAATATATTACAATAGCCGCTCTGTGGCTTTAACCGCCTTGGCTATGCTTGCCAGAGTTGTCGCGGCTCAGTACGAACTCGCAGACGATGAGGTCCCTTTCATTGGAGGCGGCGTCTACGAGGGCAGCGACCCAGATCTCGCAGGATGGACCGTTCAATACAACCCACCTTCGACCCATCAACATACGGTGAATACTACACTTGGGCCGTGAACAACAACACTGTTGGCATCAACAATAACACATTTCAAACTGACCCTCTCGGCATCCCAAACACCCCTGACGAGAATACCATCTTTCCATTCTTCGTGATCAACGAAGGAACACCAAAGAAGAACATCATCGACGACGATGCGGACAGACAACAACCAGGCCATAGAAAATTCAAAAAGATTCTCCATGTGATCTTCGAGAATGAGGTCTTTAGCTGGACCATGGGAGATCAGCGGTGGAAGCTCCTCGCCAAGCGTGGTAGACTTTTGACCAACAGTCACGCGATAACTCATCCATCGTTGGGTAACTACGCATCTATCTTAGCTGGTGATTACTTTGGAATTGCCGATGAGGATTTCTACAACATCAACGCTACGACCATCTATGATCTGCTGGACGAGAAGAGCATTGACTATGCAACTTACGCCGAGTGGTACACCCCCTTGGAGACTAAGCGAGGTCCAAATGATTGCAACAATGAGATGTTCATCGGCCCTCTCGACAGCACAAACCCAGCTTGGAACGGACCAGTGTATCGTCGGTTGGACGTACCACCTCTGTTGATTACTACCTACACCAGTGACTACACCCGCTGCAGCAAAATTTACAACGCCACCGGCAAATTCGACGACGATGTCTCCTCTCACAATCTTCCTCCCTACTCCATTTACGTCCCAGACATGCTCTACAACGCCCACGACCCAGAATCAGACAGTGACTACGCTCATCAACCAACCACTGCGGGTATCTGGTTCAACGCTTGGCTGGACATATATCTTGACGATTTGAAAGATCAGGGAACGTTGGTTGTGGCGACTTTCGATGAAGCGACGTGGCAAAATGACGATGATTCGGACCCAAACAATAAGAATCAGATTGCGACTATCTTGTTCGGCCAGGGCATTACTCCTAATACTCAGGATCCTGCGTACATTACTCATTATGGTGTTCTCAAAGGCACGATCGCAAATTTCAATTTGGGGTCTCTTGGACGAAATGATACGAATGCTACCAATGGCAATCTAGCAGTGCTGGTGAACTGAGAAGGAAGATAAGAGATGCTGTTTCTATATTTTCTAATTTTTTGATCAAATTTATTTCCGTTTTAAAAAAAGAGCTCCTATAAATCCATGGGAAACGGCTCTAACGGTTTTTGTGCCCTGTAGAGCTACCTGTGCTTGTGAAGGGCTTATTTCTTGAATCGGTAAATATCAAAGCAAATAGCAGCTTAACTAATTGTGAAAACAATAAAATGATTATTGAGTTGCTCCAACAGATCGCGAGTTTTAGGGACTACTCGAGTCTCAGAAATCCCCTGCGAAATTAGGCATGGTCCCCTCAACAGACTTGTAGCCCCATTCGCCTGTAAAATAGTACTTTTTGAAACTACCTGAAACATGACTCTTACTTATGAAGTCAGAAAACGAGTTGATTATCGAGTACACGAGCGAACTTAGTTGCTACTTATGGATCTTATACAAATGCTATCTCATTACGTTGTCGGGATCGAATTATTAGTCGTGGTGATGCCCACAAACACTACCAAAACTGCAGCGTACGTAGCTGTCGAAACCATTGTCTCATTGTTGCTTGAACTCAGTCCCAAAGAGATAGCACAGGAAAACAAAAGGGTTCCCACAGACGCCGTCACTAAGCTCTTAGTCTGGGTAGGGTTGATAGCCATAATCAGCATGGGAACAATCAAGAAGGCCCCACCCGCAAGAGCAACTATGAGCCGAGATAGTCTATCGACAACAGCACTGATCTCATGGGGAGGCTTGCCCTCCTCGAACTCTCGTTGTCGCCGTACTCGCTCGGCATTGGAGTAGGCAAGATGGCGGGGTAGTAAATGGCGAAGGACCTTGCGAAGATTGTCAACTTTTGCTTTGTTGTCATTCAATGCGTAATAATGAGACTCGAAGGGTTTTGTCCATCGGCATTGGCTCATGAGGGATGGGAACGAAGTCTTCAATAGCGCTTTTCGCTCTTCAGTTCTTTCTTCACTGAGTGGTTTAAGCCCGCGGAACATATTGTAGTTCTTAATTGATTGGCCTGTAGATACCACAGTCAATTGTTGTAATCGGTTGTATACGTCTGCGAGATTTACGGGACTTACTGTATTCGTTCAATGTATCATTTAGACTTCTTTCGTCGCATTTTTGGCCGAGATCTGCATGAATGCTTTCTCGTATCTTGGCGAGTTTATTTTGCAACCGCACCAGATTATAGCGTTGTAAGAATTCGAATCCTAGAACGTGGAAGATCTCTTCTTTGTCTAGTGATGCTGCAACGTAGCGAAAGAGCTCAACATCAACTTTCTCGCGCCCGTGCAGTTGAGATGTGTCGCCGCTTTCCATCCTTGAGGTGGTGTTCTTGTTTCAAAGTAAAAAGAGGACAATAATAGTCAAGTTAAGTGCGTGGACTGATAATATGAACTTGTTATGAATTGTCAGTATCACGGAAATTTTGATGTTGCCTGGCTACTGTTCCGCCCGAGCCGTGATTTGTGGTGGCTGTGCATTTATTTCCTCGCGAGAAAGTTTGTGGCGGAGCAAAGCGGTGTACCCCTGAGCTGCGCCCGATCAAAGGCGCCCTGGCAAACACCACCCAGACTGCGCGGAAGATTTTGCTTGACGTCGATTCTTTCCTTTCAGTGAATGGAAGAGCTCTCCATCACTGCATTGAGAGAAAACAAGGCACTTCTATCTTTCTGTTATGCTGGCCTCGTTAACGAGACTTGTCCTCCTCTTCACCTCCTGACGTTCCAGCATTGCTATTCACTATACGGTCTTTGTCAACCATTGCAATACTTCAAAAACAACTACAACATGTTTCACACGCAAGGTCCTCTCCGAGAAGAGGACCGAGCAGCGCCATACGAGGCCCCTTCTCGATCCGAGAATCGAATGCCTTCTGCCACCCTCCCCTCCAATTACCAGTATGATGCGCAGAGCTGGAGCTACGGATGGGACAATGGTGTGATGGGCGGTACGGGACGACCGGGATCTCTCAGTCGTAGAGCTGGACTTCCTACTGTAAGCAGTTTCAATACAGATCTCTACCTCTAGACTTTGATTTGCTACTGGAGACTGACTAATATATACAGAACTGGAATCTCTGGACGGATCCCCAAATTCAACAGCAGTCGCGGACTATGGAGAGTTATGAAATGAACGGTCAATTTTCCTCTCAGGCGACGCAGGAACCTCAGTGTGGCTCGCTTCCTGTCCCGGAACTCGAGAACGATGATCTTATCCCGACCGCTCTTGTTATGAAAAACATACCTTTCGCGGTCCAAAAAGCTGAGCTCGTTAATATCATGTCTGATTTGCAGCTACCCGTTCCCTATGCCTTCAACTACCACTTTGACAACGGCGTCTTTCGTGGTCTTGCTTTTGCAAATTTCACGACTCCCGAGGAGACAAAACTCGTTATTGATGCCATGAATCACATGGAGCTGCAAGGTCGGAAGTTGAGAGTGGAGTACAAGAGAATGCTTCCTGCTAAAGAGCGGGAACGAATTGAGAGGGAAAAGCGAGAGAGGCGTGGGCAATTGCAGGAGGAGCATCCTTCCATGGTTTCTTACCAAGCTCATTACTCACTTCATCGCCAAACTTCAACGGCCTCTTTCACTCCAATAGATATAGATCTTAATGACCCAGTAACACTAAGATTCTATAATGAGCTCTTGGTATTCAAGAACTCCGATCGAGAGACTTTGAGCTTTCCAAGCACAGTCTCTCCCGCTGACCGCAGGATCATCCACACTTTGGCACACCATATGGCCCTTGAGCATTGGTCCGAAGGGGAAGAAGAGACACCATTCGTTCGTGTTTCCAGGCAAAGGGTCCATTCGCTCAGCTTGCATAGAGCTAGCAGTACTGGAGAACTCTACCGAAGACGAGATTCTGCTTCGAGGCAATCACCTAGGTCAGGAATGTACTCCGGATATGCAGGATCCAACCACAGCGCTACTAGTATCCGCAGTCATGGTAGCAATGACAGCTATACTTGCTCCGTCCGTTCAGCTCGTGGTATACCAGATCCAGACTCAGATACTAGATACAGCGGCTTGGAACAGCGTTCTAGAAGCGTTGGCAACAACGCCAGTCCACGTGATTTGTCTCCGCTCGAGCCTCGAAGACGCTCTACACATGAAATAAACGGTAATGGTGAAGCAGTGGAATCGTCTGGAGAAAATTATCAAACGTGGGAGGAGTTCTGTGTCTTGCAACTTGTTGCATTCCTTCAAGTCTGCACATTGGACGACGTACATACTCTGACTCAGTCTCCAACTTTGCTGGGAAAGAGGTTCATACTGTATCTGAAGCGCATGATCAGCCAAGAAGGAAAGACCGATTTTCTATCATATCGAGCTTCTCCACGACCTGGTCAGCCGGAAGCTCAATTGCAACTACTTCATCAGAAGAGCTTCTTCTCACAGTCTAGGACGTCGATTCGCTCATACAGTTCTCGCACCTCGCAGAGCTCCACGTCAACAGCGAGTTCATTCTCATCGCAAATTTCTGATGGCACAACCCTAAACCATGTACAACAAGAGGCGAAAAGTCTCCATGACTGTCTAGCCAAGATTCAGAAGAAATTGAAACATCTCGAGAAAGAGCTCCAGGGGATACGAATTAGCAAAGGCCAGGATCATCTTGCCGCCGAGTTGCAAACTTTGGCGGGACTTGTAGAGACTATCAAAACAGCTATCGAATGGCTACGTTCAAACGAAGAAGATCTAGGGCTCTTAGGATTCTGTAAGTTATTCGCTCCAGGCATACCGAGTGAGCTACTGATAATTTGTAAGCGGATGTGTTTCTACTTTTCGCCAAATTTCATCGCGAGTTTGTGACCTTTTACAAGGAGCTACAGAAGTTGAAACGACAAAACAGGGCTTCAAGAGTCTTGAGGCCGGGACGCGCAAAGCATGAAGGTGAAGAGAGGCGCTTGAAATACGTCGAAATAGAGCAGGCATTGAATCATATGAAGAGTGAAATTGTTGCTGATTTGGAAGCTGCCGAAATTCAGAAGGCCGCTTTTATCGCTGCAGGAAACCCATATGCGTCTGATTCGATCTCAGAAGCGGTCGCTGATCTAGGATACGCTCCTCATGACACGTTTGCTGGGTCCTTCCTTATGACGAGACAGTTTATCAAGATCGACGATCCTAGAAGATTTCAAGGGTTCTTCATATGCGAGTGCTGTCCGAAGAAGCCAAAGAAATTTGAGACGGCGGAAGAGTTGAGGTGAGTTCTTGCAGTCTGCTGCCAAGCACCATTCTCTTTGTTTGCCTTAGTCTAAACCCGTGTTTGCAGGGATCATGAGAATGAGATGGAGTATGAATGTCCATACTGTCGCTGTCGCTTTAAGCACAAGAATGAAGCCGAGCGTCACCAGATCTCTGTCCATGTTCACCGTCATTCTTGGTCGTGTGTTGCCCTTTCCGGTTACAAGGCTGCATTTCATTCGTCTTCGAGTACTGCAGTCAGAGCAGACGTATGCGGCTACTGTGGCGAAGAATTTAGACGGACTGGGCCTGTTGATAAGCTCGGCATGCAAATCGCATCAGAAGTGGACTGGGAGTTGCGAATCGAACACTTAACGGAGGCCCACAGGTTTGGCGAGTGCAATCACGCCAAGAAGTTCTTTCGAGCAGATCATTTCAGAATGCATCTTAAGCACAGTCATTTCGCGACCAGTGGGAAGTGGACAAAAATGTTGGAGAATGCGTGTATGAAGGACGAGGAATTACCAGAGCCGAAGCGTGGGCGAGACAGGGAAGCTCCCCAGATGGAGGCTCATGGCTAGGCCCTCAACGAAGAACATCCAGTCCCGAGTCCACACGAACCCGTGATTTCGACAGGTTGTACTACACCCAACATATGAGAAGCCCACCATTCTCAAAAGATCTTGACTAAGCCATAGCTCAGCAACCAACAAGAAAGTCTCGATAAGCAGTAGATCAACCCATTCGATCAGACAGATTTTGGGGGCGGGGTAAATGTAGAATGAGGCTGCAAAAACCATCACTTCTAGGATGGCCACCACCATTACTGGCGCCAACACATCTGATATGTGACAAAGATTATGTGAGGATGATGAATGAGCAAGAAAACATGCGTTTCAATGTTGCGACATCAGGCAGCAGACGTTGGGCAGAGCCTCGTCTTGAGGGCGAGGTAGGCAGTTGCATGTGAAAGATTTGTATAAGACAACGCTCGTCTCCTCAATGTAATAATCATCAGAACACAATCAAGAATACCAAAGTCATAAGAAGCGTCACGATCTTATCCTCAAACATCAAGCTACTGCATACAAACAGACATCATGGTACGTACGCCTAATGTCCATACATTCTTGTACGTTGGCCAGGAGACTGATCATGCAGGGCGACGGCGATTCCTGGTACCAAGACATGAGCGATATCCAAGAAGCTCACGAGTCCAATACTGAGACTTTCGAAGACACTTCTTCCTCATCTTCGAGCGATAGTGGTGATGGAGGCGAGAATGGAGATCCTTGCGATGCGGGCGACAACACACATTGAGGAGATGGTTACCGCAGAAAGTACCAGGTAGAGAAAGATCTAGGGTCGAAAAGATGGGAATAGTCTTCAGGGAGAGTTGTGATGCCGGGGCAGTGGTTGACAGTACAAATACTCGTTCACCTTCTAAGATGGTCTTCATGGGTGACTATGCGAGCTTTCGGGATAGTTGACAGGGGGATTTCTCTCCAATAATCCACTTTCCACGAGTGCTCCTACGCGTGGCGATGGAGACGCCAGAAACTCCTAGAGTTCTAGGCTGTGCCATCATGGTCCTGTCAATGAGAGGAGATTTATGATGAGATGTTATAGCTCGAAGGCGCATCAGTAACGGTAATAGGTGTGCTATGTTCGAAAGCGCAAGGCTCGAAGTAGAATTGCCATGTATGCAATGATAAAAAACGAGAGATGTCTTCCATGACTTCTTGCTTGGGATATGTATCTTTGTGGAAGGGTTAATGCTTTGTCAGCAGGGTGCCATCCACGACCTCTCACCGACACTTCTCACCAACCTTCCCGGATATGCTCAGAGTTGACATCCTATACCATAGACAAGACACAAGATATGAAGGAAACTTCCTTTCTACAGTTTGGCGAACTGCCGAAGGAGATCCGCCTTGCGATCTGGGAAGCTGCAATTCCAGGTCCGCGAATTGTGGACCTAAGAGACCAGCCCTTGAAAATCACGGCGGGAGAATTGAAAGATCAGATACGAGAGCAAAAGTCCAAGAGAGAGCTGGAATTTACCGGAACAACGAATGAAAATACCGAAAAGAGAATTTTGAAGCAAGAGTCCTGGCTCGAGCGTGCGGAAGACGTCGATAGCAGAACCCCGGCCCAATACAAGGAACAAAGGGAAAAAATGTTCGGATTCCATCCGATGGGTGGTTTCAAGTCCAAATGCCCCGCTCCGGAAATCCTATTCGCTTGTCGAGAGTCTCATGAGGTCGCAACCAGATATTACGAGCGAGCTTTTCACACGGTTGCTGCCTTTGCGGAGACTTGGCTCGATTTCCACAGAGATGTTGTGTATATCCGCTGGGATAAATGTCGCAGTCTGAAGGGCAATCGTAGCGGGATTCGCTCTGCTAGCTTCGATGACTGGGTATATCACATCCCATATATGTTCGATGAGGAGTTCCAAATCCGGATTGAAAATCTTGCCATCTTGATGGATCGAGTGGGTCTTGCGAAATGTGACATGGAAAGCATTGAAGAGTTCTTGGCTGGGATCTTGCATGCTTTTGGAGGAGTCAAGACTTTAACTCTGGTAGCTAGGCATGTTGGATCTTATTCTGGGAGCAAGCATAATAGCAGTCAGCTCTCCTTCCACAAGCCTAGTGATACAGATTACCTCGAAGTGCATCATGGCTATGCATACTCGGATGAAAAAGGGAGGCAGGAAATGGAAATCATCCATGATATTCCCGAACTGGACATTGACTGGCTGAAAGTTGACATGGAGGAGTTGCAGCGTTTGAGCGAGGAAGTGACCAACGAAAGGCCAACTCCGTGGATGGTCCCAAAGATTGAATATAAGATTGTGGTTCCTGATTCATATCAGCCGTTTCTTGGTTGGACTGAAGAAAAACGCATCGAGACTGGGGAATGGGAAACAGAGCAGGAGGAAAGGAACGCGGAATGGAAACGGACTCGGGACTTGCCATCGCGATTGGCGCAACTTCATTTCGACCAAGGGGGCGAACATCCAAACGACGAGTTTGACTCGTCTGATGAGCTTGATTCTGACGAGCTTGATTCCGATGAGGATGAGAGGTACCAGTATGAGGATTCTGATGAAGAAGAACTGTAGACCATAGCTCCGTAGCCGAGCGGGAGGGGTTTGTTGATACCTTCGTATGTGGTAAACCATCAGATAGGAGAAAGGCTAAGCGATGTTTGAATCAGCAGGTTGGGATATCATGCGAACTATTGATAGCATAATTCAATATGCCTCGCTTCTGAGCCTTCAATTCAATAATGCCAGAGAGAAAGTCCTTTGTCGCCGAGGAGGTTGATCCTAGTCAGAGCCACGTGCGCTCGCGACAATCCAATTTCCCAAATTTTCTTGCCTCCACTTCTTTCCTACACTTTTCTCCTACACTTTTCTCCTCTCACTCTGCAAACACCAGTCCGGGCTCAACATGACATCGAATCTTGAGGCAGACGCGCCTTGCTTCCATCGCTTCAATGATCTTCCCAAGGAAATTCGGCTTTCAATTTGGGAAGCCGCGATCCCTGGTCCACGAGTGATCGAAATTGTCGAACGCGACTTGAAAGCCTCATACTTGGACCTCGAGCGACAGGTGAACGAATGGAAAAAGAACCGACGACGAGTACCAGACGAGCTAGTCTCGAGTTGGAGGAGTGATGAAGAAATCTTGGAACGTCTGGAAAGTATCGAAGGATACGTTGATGATGGTTATGATAGGCGGGTTGAGCCCGCTGAGAGCCTTGCGGCTAGGCGGAAAGAGCAGCTGAAAGGTCTTAAATCACCTTGTCAACCTCCCTCCATGTTATTCGCATGCCGAGAATCGAATGGGGTTGTGTCGACACGCTACGAGCGCGCATTGGAGGACAATCGCCTGCTGCCTTCCCGGAGACATACTTTTCCTTCTCCCAGGATATTCTGTACTTTCGTCCGGACACTTTCAGTTCTTACGGGTTAATTTTAGATTGTTTTGACATCGAGTCTAGCATGCGTGTTCGAAATGTTGCTATCCTTGTGGATGAAACAGAGATTAGAAATGAACCCGGAAGGTTCCAGGGAATGATAAGGGACATATTGTTAGAATTCAATAGGCTCCAGACGCTCTACCTGGTAGCTCATCACGTTGGGGACTATGCCGGGAACCCTCACGACCATAAGTACCTATCATTATCTGAGCCATTCGATACGAATCGCCTTGAGGCTATAGCCTCTTCTTGGTTCTCAGACGAACATAGCGACGAGAAACAGGAGCTTGATCACATACCACGAATGGAAACGAATTGGATGGCTGTTGACCTTGACAATTTTAACAAATATCGTGCCTACAATAGAGTACAGGATAGTCGTACCTGATGATTATCAACCTTTTCTAGCTTGGATCCAGACAAAGGTTCGTCAGCCGGAAGACGAGGACGCTGAAGCGCGGCACCGCGATGGACAATCCACCGAGCCCGCTGTTTCTCAACCATACTTCGACGAAGAGTCAGGTGTAGAGGACGACATCACATCCGAGCGAACTGACTCCGATGCGGATGGCTCAAATGAGGGATTATTCATAGAGGACGATATACGAATAATTGAAATTGGCTCCTGGCACTCTGATTCCGAAATGGATGATTCCGGAGCAGACTCTTCCATAGAAGAAGATGGAGCACTCTCTGAGTACAGTGATGTTGACTTTGGCCCTGAAGGCTTTGATACGGAGGACGAAGCAGAGGAAGAAAATGATTCGAGGGCCACAGAATTGGAAGGGTGTTTGAGGGCCGCAAGATGGCGATTTATAACGGAGTCTATGAAGCCAGAAGGGCTTTCTTGATGACAATGGTGGATGACTCGCAAGGTTCAGGCGCAGAATTTACTCTTGCTAATATAGCAACGGTTTCAAAAGATACTTCCAAAGGCATTGAAGAAGTAGAGATTTCTTAACTACGCTACCCACTTAGGTCCTCAGTGATGAAAGTGGGTATAGGCATCACGTGCCGACAAGTGAAAATAGAGGGCCGTTTCACTTGCAGCTTGCCAAAAGCGACTGAAACACGAGATGAAGACAGAAAGAGTTGCTTACCTGATACCTCAATCTGAATCACAACACAATCCCTTGTTTCTGATTTCCCCATTACTCACCCATCTTTGGACTTTGACTTTTCTTCTCCCCACGCGGGATGTTCTGCTGCTCACTGAGAACCTGAAGGATTTGACCATTGACCGTTGACCGCCGGGATTTCTTGGTACGTCATTCTGGAGGATTAAGCCGAGGGCAAGTCGGTGATTGAAGACGGCCATTCGGACCCTTGCAGTTGCATTTACCCCACTATAGCCAGCCCAGAACATCCCTCCATCCTTTTCTCCAGCAGGACAAGCAAAGTACGACATCCCTCATCTACTCCCACATCATCAGCATCATAACGTCAATTGAGCCTCTCGTGCTCAATTGACTGTTCCGCACGCCTTGCACCAACCACCTGCATTCACCTCGTCGCCGTCGCATGCATTAACCTCATCTCTTCTATTCTCCTTCTTTCCCCGGTCGCACCAACAAGCAATGCCTTCGACCGTCTGATCACCACGTCCACTCGTCCAGCCGCCCTTTACCTGCTCCCTGGCATAGCAACTCCTGGGCTCACGCCGACCACCACCGATGCAATACCACCGCAGGATTAGTATGAAGATCCGAGAAGCAGGACAACAGATGGCAGCAGCCGTCTTCCATCACGGATCTCAATCCCAGGCCCCTCTTACGCCCGAGCAGATGGCGCAGGCAAATGAGCACGAGAAGGAGTTTATTGCACACTTCTCTGACACGCAGCGTCCGTTGGCGCCCGGAGAGGTCGCGGAAAGTCCACGGAATAAGGAACTGGGGAAAAGCTCCAAGGGGCTGAGTATTAGGGATTTTGAACTTGTGAGAACGCTGGGAACGGGTGCGTACTTTTTTTTTTTTTGATTGTCTGTATGCTGCACTGCGTGCGGGCGCTGGCAGATGCCGGAGAGGATATGCATGCTGATACAAGGTTTATAGGTACCTTTGCGCGGGTGTGGCTTGTGAGACTTGCCAATCCTGCAGAAGAGGATCGCGATAAGGTGTTTGCTCTAAAAGTTCTGCGGAAAGTTGAAGGTAGGAGTTATGTGCGGAGGTGTCGAAATTCTGCTGACCATTGGGTAGTTATCAAGCTGAAGCAAGTCGATCATGTTAATCATGAACGCTCTGTCCTTGCAGACGTTGCTGGTCACCCATTTATTACTACCCTAATTACTTCCTTCTCCGATCATGATTCTTTATACATGCTTGTAAGTCGTAACCTCGTCTTTGAGCGACACAGTACTGACTATTGTCTGCAGCTCGATTACTGCCCTGGTGGTGAAGTTTTCTCATACCTTCGAAAGGCCAAACGATTTGACGAGAATACCTCTCGCTTCTACGCTGCCGAAATAGTCCTGATTCTCGAATACCTACACGAGCGGGAAGGAGTTGCATACCGAGACCTGAAGCCTGAAAATCTCCTATTGGATGGAGAGGGTCATATCAAGCTGGTCGACTTTGGCTTTGCCAAACGTCTCGGGAACAGTGAGCAGCAGAAACATGGGAAGAAATCTAAGGGCAATGTTAACATTGTGCCAGGAGAGACCTATACGTTATGCGGCACTCCCGAATACCTTGCTCCAGAGGTTATTCAATCGAAAGGTCATACAACGGCTGTTGATTGGTGGGCTCTAGGTATCCTGATCTATGAGTTCCTTACTGGTTACCCACCATTTTGGAATTCAAATCCAATAGAGATTTACAAACAGTTCGTTGTTCCCTCTGCAACTCATAAACTTTGCTAATCCCATACCTTAGAATTGTATCCAAACCTGTCCATTTCCCTAATGAACCCGCCATCTCCCCTGAAGCCAAAGACATAATCCGCCAATTCTGCACAGTAGACCGCTCCAAACGCCTGGGCAACATATCTGGTGGCGCAGCTCGAGTAAAAGAACATCCGTTCTTCAACGGTGTTATCTGGGAAGATGTCTATTACAGGAAATACAGGGGTCCAATCATCCCACCGATCAGATATCCTGGCGATGCTCAGTGCTTCGATACGTATCCAGATGAGAAAGCGGGTAGGGAACCATACAGTGATGAACTGAAGCGAAAATGGGAAGACCACTTTAAGGATTTCTGAAGAGAGGTGCATAGAAAGGATGTAAATGCGGACGAATGCTTGGATCTTTCATCAAACGGCGTTCCAGGGATACAAACGATGAATGGTTGGATACTAAGTATCTGGGGATTGTGCAGGGCTGGAGATTATGATTGCTACTGTATAAAGAGACCAGGAAACACTGTATCAATATGGGATCACGCCCGTTATGAAGTTAGGATTTCAATGAGCTGTGATTATGATTTTGATACTTGATATCAGAGGCATAATTTTAAGAAGATACCACGACATTGAAAACTAGGTGTACAGAGATATCACGTTGAAATATTCATGAATTCCTTCGCCATACGCCACAGTCCTAATCTAACCAAGGCTCCAACAGCTCGCTCTTTCTCCATATCCAAAAACTAACACCCAATCCACATCCAAACCCATATCCCAACATCACCACACCCTAAACTTGCCCTCATATCTCTATTTCTTCTCATCCAAATACCACCCCGCAACCTTCCTAAACGTCTCCTTCCCCGTCCCCAAAACCGTCTCCCCATGACACGGCACCAAATTCTCAAACCCCCACCCCCCAATCCTCCTCATACTCTCCCCAAACCCCACCCGATCCTTCGCCCCAAACGCATACCACAGCATGCGCTTCTGCCACACCGCATCCCCCCGCGTATTCTGCAATCCTCCAAACAATTTCGTCGCCCACCCGCTCGCGGCGTCCGTGTCGGGGACGCGCGAGTACTGCTCCACGGCCGGCAGGTTGAAGATCAGGTCTGCTTCGATGAGCGTCCTCGAGGGGTGGTGGACGAATACTAGTTCTTTGTTGGGATGCGCGTCGACGAATTCGTAGCTGAATTCTGCGTCGAATTCGGGGGTGATTTTGAGGGAGTATTTGTTTTCTTTGGTGAATTCGGTTTTGAAATCGAGAGGGGTGATGGAGGGGTCTGTTTTGGATTGCTCGAGGCGCTTTTCTTTGAGCCCGGCGGGCGCGATGATGTGGTTGCGCGGATAGTGGGTGGCCCAGGAGGAGAGGAAGATGTGGTGTTCCATGTCGGGGGCGATGAGGTAGGTTGTGGGGGGCGAGGGGGTGATGGATGATAGTTTGGATTGGACGGTGGGTGTTAGGGCGACGGGAGAGAAGATGGCGAGGGAGCCGGATTGGAGTTTGACTGTTTTTCTGTTAGTAGGGAGAGGGAGAGGGAGAGGGGAGAGGGGAGAGGTACCGATTGTTGCTCGACCGCCGATTTTGATACGTCCGAATCGTAGGAAGGGGACGGAGAGGGTTGTGACGTTGGGGGCGATGTCGCGGATTACCATTACGGATTCCGGGTCTGAGGGGATGAGTTTCGAGGTCATGGTTGCGGTTGTATGTTGTGCGATGTTGTGTTTGTGTGAGGTGAGGTTCTGTGAAGTGGTGATGAGGAATGAACGCGAGATGTAGGTATGACGCAGTGGGGTTTAGCGGCGGATTAGGTGCTTATGGATGGTAGGGTAGGGTTGTTGTTAACGGTGTTCTAGAACGTGAGATTGGTGATTGAGTTCCTGAAATTCCGAGATGCTGAGTTGCTGAGATGATCCAATGCTGTATTATTCTTCCGATGAAATGAGGGTTTATATATGAATGCGCTCTGATGAAGAACAAGATCCATGCGAGCTCGCAATCAGTAAGCATTGCGATCCAGAAGGAAGAACTCAAATCATTCCAGACCTTCTTGACAGGGATAAGCTGGGCATCCCGTACGTACCGAGGCGCGAGCGTTGCCGGCTGGTGTCTTTTATCTCCGATACGCTGACTCGGCAGGTATTTCAGTTAAGTTGCATGAGGCGTAGGGCTTGACAGGTGAGGTGGCTTTCGTTTGCATGCACGAGGGACAGTAATCAGGGCCACTTACGTCCGAAAGAGAAAATTCTCACTGTGAAAGGTCTTGGGAATGTGAGAGCAAGTAATCTATTTGAGATTTTGAATCTGGTACAGACAGGTAAACCAATTCTAATCGCTGAGCAATTGATCTGGAGAACTCCGTGAGAAGAAAGATCTCAATTAGAACCAGACTCAAATGATTTAAGTTGGAGGAGAAAACAAGCAAAAGAAAATCAGCCCATCCGTCTTCAATCCTCACTCCATTATCCATCATCATCGAAATCTTATGGAAGCACAAGTAGTGGAGAAAGAAAAGAAACATGACAACACCATTTAAGAAAACGCCCGTCCGCGTGTCCGCATATGATGTAACAAGTCCCAAGCCAAGGAGAAAGAAAGGGTATCGTCAGAATAGAACCGTGAAGCCCGCCCCGCCATTGCAAACGCCAGCCAGCTGTGGGTACCCGAGACAGATCACCATGACCAGGAATCCTTGACCAAGTTATCCATCATCTGAACGCCGCCTTGGAAATGCTCTTCCGTAGAAAACCAGAAAGAAAGAAATAACGCCGAAATACAGAAAGCATATCTAGCCAGGAAGAGGATATGGCTTGATACTGACACCGAATACTTGGACGAACAGCAAGGGGATGTTGTCCATACGACGAGCGAAGGGGTTGGAGAAGAGGTAGTGCCAGAAGGAGTGAGAGTAGCGGTTGCGGTGCATAAGCATCTGGAAGAGGGTCGAGCGAGTGGTGTCGTTGGCTTGGAACCACATGTTGCGTTCGAAGTAGGTGCAGATGCAGACGTAGATGAAGTAGTAGACGAAGAGATGGACGAGCATGCCGAGGATCGTGGCGCCGATGTCTGGTCGGGGAGCGTTGATGATGTCGAAGAATGATCGAGGGGGTGCCGGGTCGCGATCTGGGCCATCTCCTCCTCCTCCACCGTTTCCTCCATCTGGATCATCTCCATCTGGAGGTCCTCCACCGCCGTCCTTCTTGTCTTCCTTCTTTTCGTCCTTCTTTTCGTCCTTCTTGTCGCCCTTTCCATCACCCTTTCCGTCACCCTTTCCGTCACCCTTGCCATCGCCCTTACCACCCTCAGGTAACTTCTCTCTGTTGTCAGGAGCTGGGTTAAGAGGGGGAATCAAGTCTTTCAGATCCCTCTTCTCCTTCTTGTCGCCAGAGGTACCAGGTTGATCAGTTGGATCAGTACCGGGAACTGGTCCGCCTGGAGCAGCATCGGAATCAATAGAGACACTGGCACCTTGGTGACCTCCATCTACAACATCGTCGGCACGTCCTCGACCATTCTCACGATCAACAGGATCCTCATCAACGGGAGTTCGTCCACGAATCGCAGCCAGGGGACTGAGAGAGGTGAGAAACTGAAACACACTGTAGAAGAAGGCAGCGATCAGGACAGCAGCATCACGCTCAAGGCCGAACCAAGCTCGCAAGTGGTTGGGGTCTCTGATGAGGCGATCGCGGAAGCGGGTGCGAGTTTGCACGGGACCGGGAACTTGAACGATCTTGATTCTCTTGCCGTAATCAGAATCGTCGCTGTCATCGTCGGAGGAATGGCCATCATCTGAAGCGATCTCACCGCCGAGAGGCTTGCGGTCGTCGTCTTCGGGATCTTTGTCCTTGTATGCATCGGGCAGCATTTGAGCGCGCTCAAGGGCATCGGCTTGGAGGAGACTGATTTGGTGATGGAGTCCCTCGATCTCGGCCTTCAAGTCTGCTACTCCTTCGGCTGCACCCGTAGCGATTTGGGTCTCCAATTCAGTAATTCGGGCATCCTTGGTCGTGACCTCTACAGTCTGGTTCTCGATGGCTTCATCCTTCGCCGCGGCGAGATTTTGAGCATCCTGTGCCAACTTCGTCAACTTGAGTTCCGCCCTCTTGAGCTCAGCTTCGGCGAGACGAGTCTTGTGCTTCTCTGCATTGAGCTCTGCTACGTGCCTGTTGTCGGCGGCCTTGAGTTTCTCGTTTTCCTTGTTGGCAGTGTCGAGTTGAGATTCGATGCGGGTAATGTAGATTTCTCGTTCAGCGCACTCTTTCTCAGCCTTGGCGGCGGCCTCCTTGGTCACGGTATGCAGCTTTTGCTCCTTGAGCAAGTCCTTCTGGAAATTTTCGGCGACCTCCTCTAAACCTTTAACATCTTCTTCGCGATTCGCGAGCTCCTTTCTGATCTTGACTAACTCGTTCTCCAGCTTATCGATCCTCTCTTGAAATCGACCTGCCATGTCGCGCTGTTCTTGAAGGTCGTTGAGAGATTTCCTGTAGAGATCCTTGGCCTTGTCGCGTTGAAGCTCAAGCTGGTCGCATTCCTTATTGGCCTCGATGATGTCGTGTCGAAGCTCCTTACATTCCTTGTTGGCCTCCTTGAGGAGGTCGTCGGCTTCCTTCTCGACCTCGTCTATTTGACGACGAAGTTTCTCACATTCCTGGTTGCGCTCGTTCATCTCCCCTTGCAGCCGAGTCACATCCGCTTCCGCCACATCCTTTCGTGCAATCGCCAAATCCAGCTCGACCTGCAACTTTCCCTCGCTCTCGGACTTTGGCGTCTCACTGTTGAACAGGAATGCTCGGCCGACATCGAAAGTTTTGGCTGCTTCGGTGGGTGCCTCGCTGCCGGATCCGAAAGTGTAGCTCTCCAGCGGTCCTGTTGTGTACTTCATCGTAGCTGTTTGCAGTGTTCGTTGTAGGGGTCTTGGTATCTTGGATGGTTGCAATTGCAAAGAAATTTTTGAAGAAAGATCGAGGGAATGGGTTGGAGATTCTTTTCTTATTAATTGGTCTGCCATTGTGAAGATTTTTTTACTTCAAAATTCGCGATAGTTGTTGTGTTACTACCTAGGTATTGTTTGTTTCCTTCCTATTGTCCCGATACCTACCTAGTAGGTACTTCGTATCGCTCGAGAAGTTAAATAAGCGAGTCGGCCATTTTCATACTCTCACCATTGATCATTGTGTCCATGAGCATGCTATCGATTTAAGCATTGTCCTTGATATGTTTGCCTAGCGTTTGTGGTTTTCGCAATTGATATTCTTTTTCGTACTCCATGACGTGAGTTAAGGTTACTCGATCACCGCATCCGGACATTCTCAACATACAATGTGAGAGAATTTAGTATTGTGATGACAAGATTTTCTTACCAAGCCCAGCAACATAGTTCAGTATTCACTTCCAATAAATTGTTTCAATGCTTCAGGTGTAGAGCAGAGAGCAAAAAGCCTTCGCGATCAGATCACGTGAATCCACGATATCTGCAACTTCCCCTACCAATATCTTCAAGGATTATAGCCTTTCACTCAGAAAGCTGAGCTCGATGGAGTTTCACAGTAAGATAAATATGAACTGAGAGCGGTCTCTGATGGCTCACACAAATTTGCAATCGTTCCCTTCAAGTTAGGACTAGATTCCAGATCCGTCCCTTGGTATGTCGTCGATGTTCTTTGAAAGATTCACAGCATTACCTAGGGAATCTCTTGCGATCCTACGCACATGAATTATGCTCGCGTTGTCCGTTTCTTTTCATATGTCAAGTGCGCATTTTGCAATGATATCCACTCTCTTAAGGTTACGGTTATCTCAGACAAGCAAAAGTGAATCCATAGCATCAGTACATATCCCATATGTGAGCTCATCTCGCCCCTCTTCGACGAGGACCATTAGTCTCTACCTCGATTTGCCTCCAGCATCAGGCTTGCGCTGTTTCCTCTTCGAAGAGTTCCAACGCGATGCCCGCCTCCTTGCAATCTCTCTCCAAATTCCCAACAGCCTCTTCAAACCTCGCCAACCGTGCGTCATTTCCCTCATCACCAGTACGCCGTCTGAGTAAAATATGCCTAAGTTTCGGCACCACTTCCTCTCTTCTCCGCAAAATTCTTAGTAACTGTTCCACAGCAAATTGGTCATAAGATACCAGCTCCAATGTCTCCAAACTCACCGGAAGCATAGCATCCCTCGGCACATAGCTTGCTTTGAAAAGTACATAAGCATTCAGCGAAGCCTTCCTCAGCTTCTGGAACTCTGCCAACGAGCTAATCCACGGTGGATCCCTAGGAGGACGCCGGTATCCATCGATCTCCAATTCCTCGAGACAGTACTTTAAACCTGAGAGGGCCGTGTCTAATGTATGCGGTTCGCTCTCGTAGTAAGGATCCCTTTCACAGTCGTCCTCGCGAAGTCGGAAGGTTTTGAGTTCTTTGAAGTGCTCAGAAAGCCTTCTAAACGGGACGATACTCCGTCGACTACGGCGCCGAACACTAGAGTTTCCAGTTCAATGGTAGGTTTCTCAACCCGAACACTGTCGTCACCTGTTCGGTCGAAATCCGCCGTTCTCACAGACTTTAAGCGTAGGAAGGGCAAGAGCCTGTCAAGCATTACCCAATCATTAAACGAACCTCTCACGGATCTCAATCTCGATAAAGCAAAAGGCGAATCGACGCTTCCTTGTTCCTGCAGCATCGCAGCATGATCAAGAACTCGATCAAAGGAATTCACAGCCGATTGCTTGTATTCCTTAATCTGCAATTTCCCCACATTAGGCATGCAGCTCAGTAGAAGACCGGTGGAGGCTTCCCATTATTTGTCCTCTAGGTCAAGAAGCCATTTCTGCACTTCTTCTGGGGTAGTGCAGTATTTCGAGATCCGAGTTGGGACGAGAGCTTGTTCGGAGGGGGTGAGTGAGCGGTCTGTGGCTGTTTTCCAGGTGTTGCGGCAGGAGGTGAAGGATTTGCAGTGTTTGCTGGTCACATGGTCAGCTGGGCATGATAGAGGTAGAACATTCGAGCTTTGAGCTTTGCTGCACAGAACAGCATAAAGTGTGAAAGTGTCTAGGATATTCAAAGCAGACAAGTTGACGTACCCGAGCCTAGGATTCCCAAGCAACGCCCTCAACAGCAAAATTTCCCCGTTCCAAGTACCTAGATCAATCTCCTTGTAGAGGAAAGGTGTTGCGAGATCATTGAGACGTTTCGAGCTTCGAGCGATGTCGCATAAGCAGCGTGTATTGTACGATACTAAGTCGATGATATCGAGGACCAAGTCGTCTGAGAGTAGATCTAGTGACATGGTTGAAGCATAAATTTACCAAGTTTCGAGATAATGGTATTTGGTGTTTTGCCAATACTTAGTATCTTTGTACAATGGATAATCTGGTGTCATAAAGGATGCTTAATAAATGACTCTCAAGAGTCGGTTGACAGTCACTGTTTTCCCACTTCAAGTATTCCGAGGTCAAAGTGTTGGTTTTTGAGGCGACACAGAGCCTAAAGGAGGCCTCGGTATGGTTCTGTAGTCCACCAACTAGCCCGCCGCGCTACCTTACCTGTCCCCCGCTCCAGAGCAAGCACCATCATGTCATACCGGGATCATTGCTGCCTTCCTAGGCAAGTAAGGAATTAATATCTACTCCGTAGGCCAACCTCACGCTTCAGACTAGAACGAAAGGAACGACAGGGAAAACCAACTCTGAGATGATGAGAATTACCTAGCTACGCGGCATGGATAGACGACGGAGAATGTTCGAGAGAAAATCCATGCTTTGAATTACGACGAATACCTGCCTCCCACCATCCACAAACACCCCTTAAATGCACCTATTCCGTGTATAAACCCATATCCTCCTAGCTCCTAAAATGCTGCACAAACTCATGCAACCTATCAATAACCACTGGAAAGATCGCATTACTACTATCCTCAATCAGTGCATCAAAATGCCTAATCGCTTCCTCTTCACTCATCTCTAGATGAAACCTCTCTTTAACTTTCAGCACCACTTTGTCTGGCTCTAGCTTGATATCGGGGATATTGGCATGCACCATCAAACTGAAGAGGTTGAGGATCAGGTTTGATGATTTGCGGAGTGTCGTATAGGCTGTGAAGCAGTATTGCTTGAAGTGTCGGTATTGCTCGGATGATGAGCCACCCATGCCGTCGACCATTTCTTTGCAAAGTTTCATGGGGGGAGCGAAAGGCTTCGGGTCTCGACCAAGGATGAATCCGAAATCTGCGTGGAAGAAGTGGCCATCGGGAGCGAGCAGGAGATTGTCTAGATGCCGGTCGCCTACGCCGAGCAGATAGGTTATCACGCAGTATCCGGCACAAGATTTGACAAAGATGTCGAGTGCTTCTTTCCGTACGCCTAATGGAGCTTTGTCGTCTGGATTATTGTATTTCAGGTATGCCAAGACAGTGTTGCCTTTGTACTTGTTGACGATACCCTGCAAAGTCATCGAAGGCACGAATTGAGCAGCACCAGCTGTGGCACCTGTGGCCAAGATCTTGTAAGGCGACAATTTCAGATCCAAATTTTCCTTCTGCAGTAGTTGGTCCATAAGCGTGATGATTTGGATAATCAACTGATCTTGCCTCAAATCGTCACCAGTCTTGAACAAGATCTGATACTTATGTCGTGTTAACGTCTTGAAAGTAAGCATAATCGGACATAAGGACGACTTGAAGACTGAGGTGATGGTCGGATCAACGCCAACAATCATGACTGATGGATCCAGTGGTAGAGGCAGAGGTGGATCGATTGTGATAATCTCGTTCTTAGGATCTGCTAAGAATTGCTTGACTCGTTCTGTCTTCTTTGGTATGGTTTCCCTTGATGCCTTGATATCCATCGATATTTTCGAGAGGACTGCAATGAGTTCGGCTTGTCTCAACAGCGTCTTTCTGGTTTCAGTGCCACCAGGCAACTTTACAAGCTCCGTCATAAAGTCGTACTCAACTTTCGCAAACAACTTTCGAGTCTCCACGCCTTGATCGGCACTTTTATCGTCGCACTCAACCATGAGGTACCAGTGAAAGTAGTTTCCCAACATGAAGTCGTTTGTTGCTCGCGAAATGAGGAACCTTGCGAGCGAGGAATCTTGTGTTGCATCCTGAGTAGAGTCCGGTGAGATCTGCTCAAACTTGAGAGCCTGGACTAGCTGTAGGAGATACAGTAATAATTCCTCGTCGTTCGCTTTCCGAAGTCGATCAACAGCATATGCTCTGACCGCTGCGTTGTCAAAGGTAGGGCCAAGAAGCTCTAAGGCATCATCGACGTCGACTTCAGTCCACTTTGCCAAGATTTGTACAGCTTGTCTAGACTCACTCTGATCTTGCCAATTCACCGACTTGACAAACTTTGTCAGAGCTCTTTTGTCTCTGGTGAGATGGTGCCGGAACTTCCATACAAGATCCTTCTCTTCCGGAGAAAGTGTATGAGTAGGTGAGTATGCCATGATACCATTCAGTTCGTCTCGCACTTTCGCATTCGGTTTGAGATCCCGGTCTAACACTCCAGTCCTGTGACTTCTCACTAAGCGTCTATGCTTACTTTCGGCAGGATTATCCCTGGCCCCTACTTCAGGGTCATACACTCTGGCAAGACGTCCACCAAAACCATGATCGTCTCGATCACCTGGCCCATTTATCCCAGGTCCGTAGTGAACTTCTGGGGGTGGTTTCAAGATGATATTGGATTGAGACGCTGAAAGATGCTGTAGCGACGAAATTGGTGGTGGAGGATACTCGTGGTCCGCAAAGACAATAGGAAAGTCGAATCGAGGAAGCTCAACATACAGGGTGAACCTCTCGTCCTCTATGGCGTCCTCGAGGTCCTTGTCTTTCGTCTCTCCGTTGGCCTGCGTTTCTTTTGCCCCATCCAGAGTCATTACTTCATCCGCTTTCCGGAATCGTCTCCTCTGTAGAGCTTTAAGTGAAGTGTTGGATGCTTGTAGGCCTCGCTTTTCCACCCCTCGAAAGACGAGTTGGTCCAGCCATTCAATCCTGGGTATTTCTCCCATCTCATGCTTCTTAAACAGCTTCTCCAGTCGATCGAGCTCCTCGGCCTCTTTATCTACCGGCTCAACAGCCCCCTTTCCTTTGGCGCCATTTCGACGGCCCTGCGGCAGGATAGAGGGAGTAGTAGAGTTGTCCAAGCCATCCGCAGCTTTTCGACGGTGGAGATGACATTTCTGGCGACCTTTCTGCAGCTGGTTCTCCTTGTCAAATAATGGAAGTGTAGTCCCACCAAACGGAATTGCATGTCCTTGCGCTCCTTCACCTCCAGTCGGCGACAAATCCCATATTGTTATCGCAAGCTGTGAGCTTAGAGGAAGAGTCGAATAGTTTATTGGCAATGTAAGCCACTCGTTCCATCTACCGTGATTTAGCGCGTACCACTTTAACGTTCTATAGGTAGTGGAACTCACTTTCTCTCATTGCGAAATGGTTTGTAGGCGGTCTGAACAGGTACAGTGAGAGGCTTCGAATCTGCCCAGAGCTGGACTGTAACATAGAGGTCGGAATGTGGGCTGAAAAATAAGTAATATCCTTAGAGGCAAGGGAGTAGATATACCTCAGATTGGATCCAATATGTCGCAGATCTGATCTCTTGATTAAGGTAGAGAATGGTATGGGCGTTTGTTCCCCTTCAAGGCTAACACTATGAAGATGTGAGTTATGAAAGCTGGCAGAGGCAGATATTCATACATTCTGATATTGACTGGAATAGCTACAGCTTCTGAGCTGGCAAAAGAGAAGGGTTCCATGGCCCATCTTCTTCAACTTCTGCAGTATTCAGGAAGTAATGCGGGCGTAAGGCAAGGAAGCAAGAGCTCCATCATCCACGCGGCCGCATCACACTGGTCCAAGCGCTAAATTCGACCACCGCCACGTCGCGTCCCTTCCCAGAAATAATATCGAACTCACTCCTTGATCACCACTGCAGCAAACAATCGAGAACAAGACCACGGTCAGACAATCCATTGTTGTTCGTTACTCTATCTGAAGTTTGCGATTCCGTCCGGATTTGATTCCATCGCACCACGAGGCTGCTCGCCGTTGACCATCGCTGGCACCTTAGGCTGCAACGCGAGCCTTTATCGCGATACGGACTGCAAACGCGCCCTTAATTGAAGCTCAAGATGGCACCAATAACGAAGATGTCTGAATCACCAGCACCTTTCCGCGATAATCTCTACGATGCCTCTCCTCCTCCAAGCTCGCGAAGAAATACGAATATGACACAACCTTCAATGTCGCCGTCGCCTGGCGCGTCTGTGTCTTCAGACAAGGAAAACCGTTCATCTCGCCCTGCAGTCGATAAGGGCAAAGCTCGCGCTCCCATGGGCCCTCCAGGCGTGCCTTCAATGCGCGATGGAAACACGAGGAAGAGAGCCGCTGAACAAGATCAAGCTGGTGATCGATCGCGAAGGAGGAGAACAGTGGAGGTTGATGAGGATGAATCTGAATTGGACTACGACCCTGATCAAGACAGAGAAGAACGCCGTCAGTTGAGGAAAGGTCTCCGGAATCTTACAAAGACCCTTAATGAAAATCGAGCCGAATTCCTTGCACCTAAGTCGACTGGTCTCCGCGACACGATCTTGAAGGCCAATGAATTGTCACATCAGGTCAAGCAAACGTCAGATGCCACGATCGACTCTCGCCTACTCGTCACAGCAGCCGATTTCTCCCTGAAGAAGACTGTAGCTTTGTGCTCCGGCGATACTGCGCAAGGCATCGACCTCGACGACTTTTTGATGAAGGTCAAACAATACATGAGGAAGGGGGCTCCTGAAGATAGAGCTCCTAGTAATACACAACGACATCGTAGGAGGGGGCAAGATGATGATGATGAAGATGATGGAGACTCGTGGAATTGGGGCTACTTTGGACGACATGCTTGCGTGAAGCACATATCCCGGCCATCAGTCCCTGGTTTCTTGCTCGGCCCTCTTTCTGTTGAGAAGCGTGTGCGAAAACCAATAGTACGTCAAGAGCGTCTCAAGCATAGCGCCATCAAGGAAGTCCGCCCAGAGGTCCTTCAAGCTGGCGACATCGAAAAGAACGAGAACGCCAATCTAACCACTCTTTGCACCCAAATACTTGGCCAATTGAGACAGGTTCAAGCAAAGGCCATCAAGTCAGTTACAGATAGGCAAGATGACAATATGACGGACAGTCAAGCCGAGGAACTGATGGACAAATACGGCGTCTCGACTGACGGAGGAATTGCTCTTTTCAAATTCGTCATCAATCCGTTTTCGTTCGGTCAAACCATTGAGAACATGTTCTACGTGAGTTTCTTGATTCGAGACGGAAAGGTTGGAATTGAAACAGACAACCGAGGTCTTCCTTATCTAGGTTTGTAGTCCTGCTTCCTGGTTGAACGTTACTGACGCCACATAGAAATCAAAGGCGGTAGACAAGACGAAGCTGGGGGCACAAGAGATCACAAACCAAAGCATCAAGCAGTGCTCGCGCTCGACATGAAGCAGTGGAAAGAAATGATTGATGTTTTCGAAATCACAGCTCCTATGATCAAGCACAGAGAAGAAGAAGAGCCTAGTGATGTTTCCGCGAGAGGATGGTTCGCTGGTTAGAGGTGATTCCGTGGTGGGATGTGAAAATGATAGAGGAAGCTGTAGCTTTAGATTTTGGCAATCGCTTGCATCGGAGTCAGGAGACGGTGGGCATCCTTATGTATAATACCATGGGGGCTGAATCTGCGCCGAGGATATGCAGAATCTGGTGATCTGGAAATATCACTTTGCATGTTACTTGGGGGGATGGCGTTGACTGGTCTGTGACCTTTGGTCACTGCAACACATCAATACAATTGTTTGATCTTGAAATTTTCATCATGTTTGTGATTCGTGTTTCGAGGTAAATACAGGTAGTGCCTGTCATCCTCCGGTTTGTTCCTGATCAAAATCTTATTCACAGTTGGAGTTGGGTGTAGATAAGGCAGGGCGAATGCTACGTTAGTACGATATACTTTTGCGGCTATTCATCTTCTGGCGTTTCCCGTGCTTGATTGCCTGGCAACGCAAAAGCACTTTCTCTTCCTGCAAATTCATCTTTCATGCTTGTTCCTTTCATCCCAAGTCTTGCAGCCTCTGCCTATTTCCCTTCTGGCTTTTTCTGGTATATCTATCTTGTCTGGCACTGCGTAGGGTCTTGTCGTTTCACGCCCCTGTCATTCCTTCTTTCGTCGCCTTAAAGAATAAGAGCGCGATGCTGGCACCTCATAATACGCCGAGAGCCATGCTTTGCGAGATTTATGAAATCCTCGGCAGAAGCGAAGGTGTTGATGGTGGGTGGCTTGATATCCGAAAGTATTCCCGCTGCAGCAACCTCGTCGCTTGTGGAGTTGATTGCGCGATGTAGAGCGAATGGGAGGTCCATTTAGCGAACCAAGTATTATTCCTTGCTAGTTCTTATGCGTATTTGACTCCTATTACCGGAAGGGGTCGTATTGAGATCGCTGGGCAGATTGTTGGTGAGCGGTGTGGGGTTGTAGATGGTTCGCTTACCTATTTCAGGAGTAGTGCTGTTGTGACCAATGGATGTGACTACTGAAAGTCTTGTGGGACGAGTATGAGGAAAGACACAGCGCTGGCATAGTCTGCTACTAGCGTTAAGAAGGCAGTGTAGGCTAATTTAGCTGCTCTTGCTCCTCTTTGATGATGTCTCAGTTACGACTCAAAAATTCAAAGAAACGAAGTGCCAAGTGCAAGAAGGTGATGTTGATGGTTTGAGATATTATCGACGAAAAGAATTGTTGAATGCTAGTATTACTATAGAAATCTGTCGTCCAATATATTACAAGGAAAGGTACTATGGCTTTTCGTGACACTTGCTTTTCCCGACCACGGCCAAAGGGAAAGTGGAAGGGACATTGCGTAGTACATCTCGAATTATCCCTCGATCGCATATGTCAAAACTGCCTCGAGTCCTCTTTCATCCCCTTCCCATGGTAAACTTGCCATAGAAAATCATTTAAGCTGCCTCGCAGCTCGAAAGGGCTCCGATCCCTCGATTGATAATCCTCTTCACCAACTCAGCTTTGCTTCTAAAACATTATCCTCTTTCAAGCCGTACTGCCCTACATCTCATGAATATGTTCCCAACGCAACGCATCGCTCCCCTCTTTCTCATGCACTTGCCCCTCATGTGACAAGCTGGTTCCCTCTTTCTCATGAGCCCCATGATCCCCCGGCTTTTCAAAGATGCCCGTTGTAGGCGCCTTCATCCCGCGTTTTTTGTACATGTTGGAGAGATAAAAGCTCCGTCTTGAGTCCTCGGTAGTAATAGGGGAGGAGTGGTCGCGTTGATACTTTCGCAGGAAGAGGAGCGCGAGAATGATGAAGCTGAGGAGTGCTATGCTGCCGATCACACCGCCTATTATGGCGCCTGTGTTTTTGGGGCTTGATGAGGCGGCTGTAGCCATGGATCATTGCGAAGCTACCGTGGGGTTAGAGGAGGCTTCCGGACTCTTGGTCGGAGATGTGATGAGCTGTGTCGTGCTCGGCGTAGATGTAGTTGATTGTAATAGCGTGTTGGTGGTGGTGGTGGTAGTGGTGGTGGAGGAGGAGGAGGAGGAGGAGGAATAGGACGAGCTTATGGTTGAAACTTGACTTGGAATGGTGTTCACTGCTGAAGAGGATGGTGCTAACGTTGAGGTTGGACTTGGTGAAGCCGTTGATACAACCGTAACGGTTACCGATGATGCAGCTTGGATCTGCGAAATCGTCTTTGCAGCTTCAGCTGGATTGGATGACCAGATTATCCCAGCTAGACTGTCGAAACCAGAGCCCAAGGGTGTGCCCGCCAATTCGGCATGACAAGAAAGGGGAAAGGCCGTTTCGTTAGGTTCAAAATTCTCCATGACATATGCGAAAGGTCCAGTGGAGTCAACAACGAAGGAGCTGGCTAAGCAAATGGTATTGTAAGTTCCATTTACACTTTCAATTCTTTCAGGGCAGAGACTGATGCACCCAAAGCAAAACTGCCATCATTCGTTCCATTCTGACACCACATCCGCAAGATTGTGGAGGGAAGAGTCGAGGTCCAATCCAACATCGCTGAGTCTATCATGTTTGCTTGTAAAGCCTCTGTTGGGAACTTCCAGATCGCGGTCTGTGCCTGTACTCTAGCATATCGGACGTCAAATAGAAGAAGGCAGCAGAGCATTAGTTTACGCATCATTTCGAGTGTGAAGTAATTGAAAAAGTTACGAAAACAAGTAGCAGTCGCTAATCGAATGATATATAAAGCTTCAAACTTTCAGGGTAGGACATTTGTTGATATTTCTGCCCTACCTCTTGTGCAGCCGCTTTCAGGACGAATGCGCTTGCTCAAATGGAGGTCCATCAGCGAAAATACTGAGCTGGAGGCCATAATTGTCAGAAACTGAGATATTGTAAAAGCTGTTGGATCCACTGAAATCCCGGCTCGTGTTGTGGGATATTTAATTTAATCGGTCGAGCGCTATTTCCCCTGAAACACTTAGGCAGCGAGACGTTGAGATTGAGTGTTGGTATTATTGTTGGTTTGATGTCCGTGTTGGTGTTTGAAAGACATACAAATCAAGCCTCGTGCTTTACCCCTGAGCCTCGCGTAGAGCAGGAGTACTGACCGTAGCTTACCCTACATTCTCTCAAAAGCTGCCCACATGTGCAACAGAAAACGACCACTTTACCTCTTTATATTCTATGTTTTGTGTCGTGCGTACATAAATTTGAAGTTTACTAAGCTTTTAGTTGGTAATATTTCCAGGACACAAATGTTGTGTACCGGCTCGAGGGGAAGCGGGGGGAAGAGCGTTGCGCGCAAAATTCCCAGCGCAGTGGTAAGCATGATATGCAGCGCTAAGATTAACAACCCGAGAGTGGTTCAATAAGGATAATTTCGTGGATCTACAGCCTACGGCGGTAACGTCAAAACGGTATTGACTCATGAATGTTTGTTATTTCTCGGGCCGTTTTTGCCATCTGCACCGCACAAGAATACCAACGTCCCTCAAAAGCAGCTCCATGTCCATGAATCTTGATGAACATGCATCTTCGCTTTTGCAGTACCTCCCCTTAATATCGATGAGGTCCATCTGAAAATAATGCTAACCGGACCATGGCCACCTAGAAAGAGGCTGGTCGCCGCCGCTGTGGCAATCACAACCATCGTTGCTTTCGCAACTGTCTCAAACCTTCAGTATCGATCATCTGAATGGGTTGTGAACTTGCACCTCCCTTCTTACAAAGACAGTAACGCAACAGAACAAGAGACTGGTAAGCATGCATAAGATACATGTGAAGTATATCAGCTGACTGAAACCCACTAAGTTGCAAATACGACCCTCCTCAAAGTGTTGGCGCCAAGCTACATCAAAGCAATACTTGACCCTAAGAACAAAAAGTTCGATCGCCTCCAGTGCCCAGTACCTACCCCTAAGCGATACGAATATCTTCAAGTCGACAATAGAATTGCGAAAACTGGCGATGGCAAGACAAAATACTTCTTTGCGCTGAATCTGAGACAATGCATTGGCATACTACCTCGATTGATGGGATCCATTGTGGAAACTGTGCGATTCCTCGGCCCCGAAAATTGCGCTTTGTCGATTGTGGAGGGGAACTCGGATGATGGGACCTTTGAAATACTGGAAGCGCTGCGCAAAGACATGAGAAGCCTGGGACTTGAGTTTCACCTTCAGACTAGCGACATGAATCCTCAGAATGGAGACCGAATCGAAGCTCTTGCGAGCCTTCGAAACCTGGCCCTCGAACCACTATTCAACAATCCAAGTCAGTATTCTCCAGACTCAGCCGTGATCTTCATCAACGATGTCGCTATATGTATGGAAGACATATTGGAGCTGGTTCACCAACGAGTCTTTCAGAAGGCGGACATGACATGTGCGATGGACTGGTCAGATATAGATCCAGCGCCCATCTTCTACGACATCTGGGTAGCAAGAGCCATAAATGGGGACACGTTTTGGGAGATTCCGCCAGATGGAGGCTGGCGATTTGCGTCAAACCTCTTTTGGAACCACCCAGTATCTCGCCAGCGATACGATGAGCACAAAGCCTTCCAAGTTTTCGCCTGCTGGAACGGAGCCGTGGTCTTCACCGCAAAGCCCTTGATACAGAACAACATACGATTCCGGAGGTCGAAGCCTGATGAGTGTTATTCGGGTGAGCCTCGATTGTTCTGTAAAGACTTGTGGATAGAAGGGTATTTGAAGATTGCGGTAGTACCATCTGTGAATCTGGAATATTCGGATCGGTCTGCTAAGAAGGCTAAGATGCTGCATGGATATGTTACTGATACGGTAAAAAGAGAGGATGTTAATGATGAGTCGTTGAAGATCGTTTGGGATGACAAGCCACCTGAACAAGTCAAGTGTATGGCTTCTTTTGAGGACCAGTCTTGGGTACCCTGGAACCAAGGGTTCGAATCCAATGGTTGATTGTAATATTCTTCTCGTTGTCCTTCGTGGCATGATCTGTCTAGGTCTTGTGCTCATCGACATGAACTTGCGTTGGCTCCTCTGAGACTACCGCTAGAAGACCTCGCCCCTAATAAAAGCCACTACGAAGAAGAACTTTCCAAATTTCTCCAAAGTTGGGCAGCACAATATGCAGCTACTAGCAGCCCCTCTGAGAATCATGATCCCCGCTTCCAGAAAAGCTAAACACGTTTTCGAGCAGAGCGGGGTTGAAATACAGCCTGTTTAAGACCATACCCATCTTTGTACCCTTACTGAAACTTTCCATATCTTCAAGCTTGTTTTACTTGATTTGAATTTTTTTCTTTTTTTTATTGCAATTTCGTTATTTTGAATTAACAAATAGACTGAACGATACTTTGAATGGAAGCTATTTTCTCTTTTGATTTAGAGCTTTGGATACAATATAAATTTATAATTTGAATGTTATTTATCATTGAAGAGTTTTCGTAAAGAAAAAAAATTTACAGTGAGGCCCTAGACATAGCAAAGCCTCGCTGGAAGCCTCGGTGGCTGAGTAATGTCAGCTGCATCTGCAGCCTAGCAATCTATGAGCATATTGGCCGAGGATGACTTCAAAAAGAGCCTCTGTCCCTCGCAAATTTCTGACGCTTCGCATACATGCGCACATGAAGAAAAAACTACCTCTTTTTTAAATTCCAGATTTCCTCCTAACTCTCGACAATATGGATGCACCCAGTCAATCAAACCAAATGCAAGCTCTTGTCGGAGCCCTAGGCTCGGTGATAGGCTATCTCGGCTCTGAAGTCGCAGAAAAGGTCCTCTTCGAGCGCCTGATGTGGCCGCAGCGATATTACAACGATCTCACCTTCTCCATCTTCCTCAAGCAGGGTTTCCTCATGACCATGGGTGGACCTTTACACGCGGCAGCTCTTGCTACGCTAGACGTCTTCAGAGACAGCGGACTTTACAAAGGCACCCGCCGAGGTCACATGCTCGGAACAGCCTTCCTGCCTAGTACAAATGTGACGAACTTCCTTAGGACGGATAGCGATAGTAGAGGTATTGCCAAGCAATCGAGAAACGGGTTCTGGGTGCAGGTGTTGAAGAACATCAAAGATGTCCCGGTTAAGGAGCATGTGCCGAGGATCGATAGACAACCAACGAACGATCTGATGCATGTAAGAACGAGACAGCCAGTCCATCATCTCAGGTTTCGACTCGTTTCCGATATCGAACCTCCAGGAGAACATGTCATTTGCATCAGCGAGGAGAGGACTACATTGAATGTAGTTCTGGGCATCTTTCTCAGCGAACTGAGTGCTGTGATCTCAGCCGTGGTCGCTGGAGCTAGAATGCGGGATTGGTGGCTGGTACCGTACTTATGTATTCCCTTGATCCTTAAGTTGCTGTCGGTACTGGTCAACGTTCGAAGGTCTGGACTGGAATCGTATCTCGAGCTCCAAAGGAGTGGATCTCTGAGCGACAGTGTCGTGATAGAAGTGCAAAACCCCAATCATGGATTCGCTGTCTTGGAAGGGCCGGAGCCCGTCATCCGTCAGTTTTTCCGTCATTATGGCCACCCTAAGCGCGATACTTGTGGAGATAGAGTCCGGGAGGTTTTCTCAATCTTGCTGATATATTTGTTCGTTCTCATCTTCCCGGTTGGCTTGGTAGCAAACTTGTGGATGAGCACCGAGGTGCAGTACTTGTGGCTCGCGTACCAGCTATATGCCATCTTGGCAATGCATATTGTTCGGATTTTTGGCTGGGAGGGTTGTGGAAGAACGGAAGAACGAGTTGCAGGCCACCTCAGAGATAAAATGGAAGTATGGCTTTACAGTACTGGTGGTTGCACGGTAGGAGTGAATCTGAGAACTACATATGTTGATCAGATCAAGGCGGGCGAAACGATGGTGCAGGAAATTGTCCGCAAACATAGACCACACGATGTGTTGAAGAGCCATGCCACAGTGTAGCTATAGAGCATGTACATACGTCAATAAAATGGTGTCAAACCTTCTTCGAGTTCATTTGTGTCAACTAATACTCACAAGACAACCTCTTCACAGAGCTTTCTATCATGGATATCCAGTTACTATGGCCCTCTTCATGCCGAGAAAAAGAAAAGTCAAACGACAATGAAATCCAAGAGACTTGTTACAAATGTCTCGTGCTTAGCAACTCGCTCAAACTGTGTACGAAACATTCCCACCTTGCGAAAGATGCCAGCCCTCCGAAGCCCAACTTCATCAAGGCGTTGCAAAATGATCCCTTCGAGACGTTGCCTGTACTCTACAGCAACATGAGTCTGGATGGTCTCTTTCTCATCGTAGAGGAGAACCGCGTAATACGACCCCTCCAGACCTTGCAAAAATGCATGCAGCCCGAAACTGCCATCTGGTATTTTCAGGGTGAATTGTTTCGCGTATTCTAGAAAGAGCCTTCTGAGAGGGGGGATGTCATCATCTGGCGTCACCTGCTTTTGAACACCGGTAAGCTCTTGTACTGCTTGTGTATATCTCCTGGCGATGTGATCGGGGTTGCGATTTATGGCCCGGATTTCGCTTGCAGGAAGCACATTCCATGCCCTGCGTGAAGGAAACTTGATCATGATATCCTTTTCCGCCGATGCTCTGATCTCTGGTGATGAAATAATAATAGCCTCCTTCATCCGAACAGCTCCGTTCTGGAGCACTTGCCAAGTTTCAACTGATGAATGTCCACGACGAGTTTCGTTCTCAGTCAGCGTTGGAGGAGCAGAAGCTTCATAGTATCCATACGGTAACATACTCCCGGGGCCTCTGGAGATCCCACTTGGAAGATAGGCAAGATACTCCATACGCCAGTCCATACCGAAGAATGAAGCACCAAGCTTTGTGCGAAGTTCTAATACAAAGGTGTATGGATAGTCGCTGATTTTGACAATAGAGCTATCGGACTTGGAGACTTCCAACCAATTTGTTACACCGATAGCAGACATGAAAGCCAAGGCTCGATCGCGGGAGCATTCTCGTTGGTCTGCTTGATATAGTATTCTCATCCGAGTCAACTCAACGAGTTGGCTGAGCCCACTGTACTTCAAAGTCGTTTTGAGTTGAGCTAGACTCTTAGACTCCTCGTATCCATATTCGAGAAGTTCTTGATCGGGGTTCTCAACCGGATCACCATAGAAGAAGTTTGCTTGGCGATGAAGCATGTTGAATGGGGCCAAGTCAATGAGGGATATTAGGCCATCAAGCTTTAGCGGCTGCTTCCCATTTAGTGAGAGATATTCCCAGTTTTTGTCGCATATAATCATATCTGGCCTGAGACATGCTTCCTGCAAAGTCCACAAAGAACTGAACCACTTGTTGATATCAGACCTCGAAGTTTCCTGTGTTGTCTGACCAGCAAGCTCGCAGTCTCTGCGGTGGGCTTCTTGGAAAATGCGCTTGACCACATCAATATTCACGAGGTACTTGACTCCCTCACTTGACAGACCTATTGCTGTAATGACTGCGCTCTCAACTGCTGCCTTCACGCCCTCAAACCCGGTCACGTCCGAGAACCAGACTGCTGCGTGCTTTGCACCAGAGAATATCTTTGCTTGGATACTGACTTGTTCCAGATGAATATCTTTCCACTGAGGGGCGACAACACCTCTGGCACAGTTCTGAGGAATGCAAACAAGGTCGAACCATATATAACGGACTCCGAGTGACTTGGAAGCATCCTTAAGAATTTCGGGAAGTCGTTCAACGGGAAATCGAGAGTTCTGGACAATTGGCCATTTGACGTTCGGAACCTCGACAAGTGCCTTGTCCCATAGTGCCATCCGACCCCAAGTGTGACTAATAGCGGCATACTCCACGTCTCCAGGGTACTCCACTGTCGCATCAATTAATGTATCCCACAGATACCGCGGCTTCCCTGTCTTCTCCGCCACAGAGAGCCAAGGACAGTAAGACACAATTGGGCCGGATTTCCCTGGCCTTTTGAGGTGTATGAGATCCATTTCAAAATTTCTTCTGCTGATAGAGAGAAGAGATGATGCAAGCGCAATGACTTCATCCAACGTGTGAGAAATAGGATTTTGCGAGCTGCGAAGAAAGACTCGAGACTTATAATGCTTCTCGACTGTGGGATCCTCAAGCTCTTTTTCCTCCCAAACAAGACGCTCTTCGTCTCCTGATCCGGTAAATGGGACGCCTTTCTTGGTTAGCGTGTGAATCGTGATGGGATTCTGCAAGCCTCACTCAAAATGTTGCACTTGTTCAAGGCAATTTCTTTCCACTGCGTTTGTACGAGAAGCCTGGCATTTTTTATGTTGCGAACTATCTTCAGGAATGTCGGCTCGAGGATGGGACCAAGAATATAGTCTGGAGCTTCCGACTGCTTGAGAATCTCCTTCTCTCTGCTGCGGTAAAGGTAAGTCGAGGTGCGTTGCACGTACGCAGCATTATATGCAGAACCTCGAACATAGGAAAGTTGTGGAGGAAAATGTCTGCTTGCGTCTGGCGGTCTTCTTCTGGGCGTGAACTCCATGTTGAAGAGCCGATACATACTCTCGTCATATCCACGTCCAGTGATGAAATTGGTGCGTTTTTCAAAGAAAGCATCATCGGGTAGAAAGGCTAGTGCCCTCACGGCCATGAAGGCTAGAATTTCAGAAACAATTTCAGGACTGGCATAAGATGCGTCGATCCAGTCCAAGATCATCCTTAATGAATGATACTGGATTTCTGTCAACGACTCTATGAAGTCATCGCGATAATTTTTACCAAGCAGTAATAGATAGATACAATGCCAATATGCCATTGGCTCGCGACTGCTGTTGAAAATCGTGAATTCCAGTTCAAGACCTTGGCTGTCGAGGAAAGGTTGAATCGTAGTCCACAGCGGAGGATCTTCCCATCCGACGAGTTCGTCTCGAGTAGCGAAGACAGCAGGAAGACCAAAACGGACGCCAGTCTTTCCATCAGCGAGAAAATACTCTTCTAACATTACAGACGCTCCATCAATACCAAATAAACCCGAAACATCATCGGAATCGTCCATGATAAGAGCTCGTCTTGACGAGGCTAGCCGGCTGGTAAAGCTCGGCTGCCTGGAAAGGCTTCAGAGGAAGAAAGGAGTAAGATCCTCAAAGCGCGCTCAACAAGACTAATTACAAGTGCGTTATGATATATGGGCTCGAGTCGTAAGGGTGAAAAGATCACAAAACAATTATGCCAGCTGTAGCTTCAATTGCAGCTGAGAAGGTAGTTGGTGATGCGCAATTTTAAAGCTAGCCCCAATAGGGAGCTTCATGCAAGCAACAGATTTGGTAAAATAAGCGAAATACATAAGCAAGTTTGAAACTCCGAGAGCTTTGAAGCTAATTTTCGTGTATTTCTCTTATGACCTGGAACATATATGGAAATGTGGTACATCTTCAAACCCTCCCCATCTCACACCACTCTCTTTCAATTCATCTCGCTCTCGCTCTCACTGTTAAACTCATAACTCCTATCAGGTGCTCTTACCCCAATGGCCACTCTCTAACCCCAGCTTGCCTTTGTCCATCCCCTCCACCTCCAAGCCCTCCCCCGGCCCACTTCCACCAACAAATTGTCTCGACGGAGGCATGACCGAAACTTGTTCCCTCACGACAGGTTTGAGAGGTAAAACCGTTTCTCGCGGCGGCCAACGATCGAGTTCCTCTTCATCTTCTTTCGATTTGCGAAGGGTGAAGAGTATCACGCCGAGGGATCGAATGCACATTGTGCGCGGGGTAGGTCGAGGTATTTGAGTACAGTAGCGGGGTAAGAGGAAGTTGCAAGCGATATCTTGAGGCGGGGAACTGAGAGATTTGGTGAGTACTCGAGGATTCGAGATCCGAATACAGCTATATCATTACGAAGTTTGCACGGTGTGATGAAGATGGATGTTGGTCTGGATCGAAAAAGATCACGCCTCTAAAAAGATGTCTCAGATGTCGTGTAACGTGAGCGCACTTAGGCGCCGTGGCCTCCTTAACCGCTGCGGGTGCTTTGCACAGCCCCCATAATGCTGTCCAATTGTTCGTAGTCATGTTCAAAGTCATAGGGTTCGGAGCATGTTGTCATCAGAAAGAGAGGATGTGAGGGGACCAATTTTGGTTCCGCGGCATGGAACATTGTTCACAGAATAGCACACAAACCTTATGTTTAATTACAGGTTAACTGTACCTTTGTGCTTACAAACCAAGAAATTTCCAGCAGCGACTGAGAACATCTCCTGTTGACAACGCCCCATAAATTCGTGATCGCCTACCGTAGTCTTATGGGAATACGGATCCCTACCACGCTAAGAAATATGATTCAGTGAGACATATACTCGAATGCAGCAATCTCAAAGTTGTCAAATTCCCATTGATGGATCTGGAGTTTCCTGGTGGCCAAGTCTAGACCTTCATTAATGCTTATGGTCGCTTGCTAAGATCGCGGCCCGCCCCCTACACAACCTTAAATTTAACCTTATTTGACGGTCTTGCATGGGGCGGCATTGAGGAACATCGTATCGGGACATGGGCAACAACAATTGACGGTGGTAAAAGAGAGGCATCGTCGTAGAAAACCTAATATGGTTTCTTATTACTTCCATGGAAAGCGCTTCTCATATCGCCGTAAATCTCTCAAAAGTACTTTCCCCCTTTCCTCAATTGCAAGACATCCTCTTCAAATCCAAACCCTATATGCCTTGCACCATCCCGATCTTCCTCTACCACTCCATTCTTCACTAACACCCCAAATCGTAATTTCACTCCAGACATCTCAGTGGCGAGTGGAACAGCACCCAAAGAGTGTCCCGTCGATAGCATATCCAGCTCCGAGTTACGAGTCGTCGCCATCATAGCGGAGAAGGCGGTGGAATGAACAACACCATTCGCTAGGACGCTATAAAAACCAACGCAGAGAGAGATGAGCGCGAAAAATATGGCTATGCTGTAGGAAATGATGAGGTTTCGAGAATTGTATTGGTATACATTGCGAGTAGTAGCATATAACACAGGCACGTTTGTGGAGTTTTGAGATCTGGAGATATTGTAAGCTCTGATAGGTTAAGACGGAAAGGAAAGAGAAGAACTTACGTGAGGTCAGAAGAACTCAGCATGCTCATAGTGATATTACCTGCGAGGTCCTCTACGGCAAGTGCGATGCTTCGATTCCGACACATCCAGTCTGGTTTATTGAAGAGGTCCTGTGCGCCCACTAAGGGGAGATCGTGTCTATCGTTGAGCGAGGAGTTCCAGAAAACTGGTGTTTCTCTGGCGGTGCTTTCGTTGCCACCAATAGCAATTGGGTTGTTGATGAAAAAGTTGTTCGTGAAGTCATCGCAAGCGCTGAGCCCAGTCATGAGTGATCTACTGGAAGAATCCCAGATTTGCATATTGACACTTGTGGATCCAGGAAGTGTGTTGTACGGCGGCGTAGTGCCGAGCGTGACATTTCCGCTGATCAGACTCGTAAGTGCAATGAAGAGAGACATGTAAGAGAGCGTGTCTGCTGGAAGAGTGGTGGCTCCAATACCTTCTGGCTCGTTCATGTAGATTGGAACAAAGTCATTGGTGGTATATGCCACTTTGGTTTGAACGCCATTCGTAAATTCGAGCTCTGCAGTATATGATGCGTTACCCAAGATGCACACGTATTGATCCGTTGATGTCAAGAGCCATAGTTGTTGCGTGTGAGTGTATTGGGGTTCAAAGTCTACGTCGTTGAACGGAAAATCAACATCCCAATTGTTGTATTGATCAGTCTGGCTTGACGAAATGGGGCTGTAAGTCAAAGTATTACTAGTGTCACCTCTAAACCACCCTTGGCTGCCCTCATAAGGCGCAAATGCGGATAGGACAGCCATGTAGGGGCCGGCTTGCTCGCCAGTGAAGTTGAGAGTGAGATTTCCGTTCTCGAAGGTAGACTTCGTTAAGGTAGGGTATTGTCCATTGCTGTTCGCGCCTGCCCCGATGGCATTTGTGTAATAGTCGAAAGCGGGTTGCTGGGTGCTGTTTGCAGCCGAACATTGCAAGGACGGCCCGTAGAAGTTCAGCGTAAATGAGGAGTTGGGCTGGGGTGGCGTCAAAGGCGTGATAGCCATGCTGTCAGCTACTTGGGTTGCCATCGCCATGATTCTGAAGGATGGCTCAACTAATGTAAAATTATTGAAGAATGCGGCGGAATTCCAATTTGGCGAAGCCAAAGACGTGAGTCGTGTCTCGTTGAGAAGATTAGGGACAACAGATAGGGTACCAGGTGGTGTTACACCCGCGAGAGCTGTCAACCTAGTAGGCCATCAGAATCGAGAAGTGATGATCGTTGGAGTGTTTTTACTTACCAACTAATCAGGGCTATGAAGACCCCGATCTTTGCATGTCTGGTCAGATGGAAACTGAGAAACCCCATTGGATTTGAGGTTAAGGAGAACATCTTATCCAAAGATCCAAGAGGGAATGATTTTCGACGAACAAGTGTCCAAATGTACTGATTGTAACTGAGATCACTTGTGGTCTTGAGAGCAGCAACTACCAAGAATGCGAAGGCTGTGCCGAATCTTGTCGACCATTGTTGACGGGACGAGGACCCAGCAGTCGTGCCATCCAACGATGCATAGTAGAAGTGATGACCCAAAGCAAACCCGACACCCGCTAGAACTGAAATCAATATGAAAACTGGCGTACTCCAATGTATCCCCCATTTGACGAGTTTCTCTGGCGAGACACCATCCCTTAGAGAATGGCTTTGGCTCTGAAGAAAGGGTTCTTTGACCTCACCCTTAGGACGATGTTCCTTCCGGATGTCTGTTGGGCTTGTCTCATGACTTCTCTGATGTTCGACATTCTCGGAATAATTCAACGGTGTATAAGCAGTGGTCGGGACAGCCTTGCGAGGTATGACTTGATTAGTTGTCGAGTGAGACATAGAGTCTCGCGGTGATCAAGCAGTGCTGGGAAAGCCAGAGTCGCAATGATTCATCTTCCAGTGCGAATGTAGACGGACGGCTTGTCGTGGAGTTAGTTTGTAGACATGAAGAGAAATTTCGAAGTGAAGTTTGTTGAGCTAGGCGTACTTGTGAACCAAGTACCACGCCGTATCTATGCATGAGGCTATCCATGGGGCTGTGCATGGATCGCAAGTGCCAGCGCCTTGACCGCCTCTCATTGGCTTTTGAACGCGAGAGTGCAATAGCCATCCTACGTTCAGCATTTGCATCCAAAACTTTATTCTGTATTTTGTTGAACTCATGAAAGGGCAGGGCTTCTGATTAAGCAGAGTTCGGAAGGCGCGGCCGGGTCATCTCTAGGTGATCGCTGTCAAGGTTCATGCTTAAATGCCGCACTGCAGCCCCGAATTTGCCAAAACTTTATTTCTTTACAGGTAATGGAATTTATTGTTGCAAAGAAAGACATCGGATTTGAGAAAATCTCAATTACATGTAGACAGATATGCTAATTGTTCAAAGAGATATACAGCTTTCAATATGAAAAGTCCACTCCGCCTCAATTACCAATTCTGTTCTTACTTACCTCAATCTAATAGCAGTGGCATTTGATGTCAACGAGGCTGCAATGATCCCTGCTGCCTTTTCAAAACCCGCAATGCAACCGGGGGGGTCATCGCGCCTTGCCACGACCACGCTCCTTCCTCGCCGTGCAGTTTCACACGAGGCTGCCAAGATGGAAGAATCCTCTTAAGGCCCGCAAGAGAGTTCTTCACCACTGTTCCTTTCTGTACATATTTGTATATATCACATGTGCGATGATTTTGCGGTGGAAGCGCTTGGCCGTTCCGGCGCTGGCGGGCGTGAGTGTCGCCGGTATGCATTTCTTACTTTTGATGGAATGGCACAGGCTGACGACGAATTGTGGCAGACAATTGCACATCCACATCTTCGAATGGCTTCATAATCGATTCCCAAGCCGCGGCAGATGCACTGAATAGCTGTAGCACCGTCTCGGGGAACGTTACTATCCAGGGCAGTGGCTTGACGACAATTGCCTTGAATGGCATCCAGATCATCGAAGGCAATCTTGCAGCTTCGGGCTGTGATGACTTGCAAACGATTACGGCTCCCGTCCTATCGCAGATTTCGAATAACTTCACACTCTTCAATCTCCCTCTCCTCGCGAGTCTCGAGTTCCCGCTGCTGGATAACGTCAACGGAGGCATATATTGGGATACACTACCGGAACTCACGGATGTTTCTTTTGGGAACTTGACGGCTCCAACATACGGATTGCCAGGGACGAATGTTGATGGAGATATCTCGATAGCAAGTACTGGCCTGTCCAGTCTTGCATTCCTGAACTTCACGCACTACTCGAATCCAGCCAAGATCTGGATCACAAGAAATCGGCAACTCGATACTGTTAATCTGACGGGCCTTTCATGGGGCAGCAATTCGTTGGCTATTGTCGATAACGGGCCTTCCGCACAAATCTTTCTTCCAGACTTGAGATCCGTGGGTGCTATTACGATTGAGAATGCGGGACACATAGATGTTTCTTCACTATCGGAAACTAGTGGGAGTGTTAATATTTCAAACAACGCTGTTGATGTACTCTCAGTCCCGAACCTTACGGATATTGGTGGCAGCTTTATCGTCGAGAATAATGGCCTCTTGGACGATATCAGTCTCCCACTCCTAACATCCGTCCATGGCGACCTCACAGTCTCCAATAACAGTGTCCTGCACATGATCGGCGACTTAAACCAACTCTGGTACTGTGAAGGGAGCATCGATCTCTCTGGAGACTTTCAGACGTAAACCTCCCTCCTTCCCTTCCCAACTATACTTTTCAATATTGACAAACATCAACAGAGTCACACTACCCAGTCTTCGCAACATCATCGGCGGTTTCCACCTCAATAGCTCTGACCCAGACTTCAACTGCACGACCTTCGACAAACTCGCCTCGGAAACCTCCTGGTCTTCATCTTTCTATTCCTGCGGCGCCTACGTACCTGGCTCACCCAAAGATCTCGCAATACATTACCAAACTCCGAACAACGAATTCAAGCTCTCGAAACCAGTCAAAGCTATTATCATCATTTTGTCTGTTATCGTGGGCTTATTTCTTTGTGCTTTATTGTTGAGGCTCTATTCGAGGAAGACGGCGGGCAGGAGAGGAAGTTTAAGTAGAAATCGGAGTCGGGAGGACGGTGTGGATCTGGACGAGACTGGTGTTACTAGGTCGGCCGAGGAGGGTGCGGATGCACTGCCGAAGTATAGGAGGGTGGGAGAGCCGGGGGAGGTCCCGCCGGTCTATCAGGCAAGTGAGGATGCGGTAGAGGCAGGCAATCAGAACACGGAAATGGCGAGTAGTAGCGCTTCTGTGACAGCTAGGAGGAGATGGTTCTTTTGGTCATGAGTTCACGAATTAATGAATTCCCTTGCATTTTGCTGCAACTTGTTTGTCGAGCTATAGCTTTTGGTTTCCAGGCATGGTATCGTCAACGGAACTCTGCTGCTCGAGCCTTTCTCTACTGCCCCTTTTGCCTTGGACAATATTGGCGACTCAAGCAATACCGAGTCAGAAGCATCAATGAATCTGGCCCAAGATGTACAGCGATCTCATGGCTAAATTGATGGAGCATTGTTTGGACATGCAGGGTGCGGGTAAAGTAAAACCAACACCCAATATACAGAACATCCGATGTGATCCAACAACAATAGATACAAGTACTTAGGATCCTCCTTCTCATATGAACCTCAGAGACTCTTAGCAATTCCACTGAGAATTTACACCCAATTAATATCACCTCCCTTTGACCTCGCGTCGCAGCAAACCCAGCATCCCACCCACAACATGAAACCATCACATCTCCTCATTATTCTCCCAGTCCTCACATCGACCTCTTTGGCGAATAAACCAGAACGATCTACGGCAGTAACTTGTCCCCCAATCGTCGATAAACTATTCTGCGTTTACGGATGCGCGTGCAAGTGTATTGATGCGAAGGTATCTTGTACTGCGGATGGCAATTCATGCGCGCGAGACGATGGAATCTTCTGCGAGGAGCGGTGTGCTTATGAGAGTAGGGAAGAGGGGAGGATGGAGATATGAGGTTGCGGTGGGGTTTGGAGAGCATTGGGTTTGGAAAAGGGAGGAGGGGGTGAAATGATGGAGGGTTTTGGAAGTGAATGCAGGATCTAATGCTTAGGAAATTGGAGAGCTCAAGAAGATAATAATTGGTAGTTAAGGAAAAATAACTTTGATGAAAGTTTTGTTGTAGTATGTAGGTAGAGCGCACCCAACAAGAGGGAAGCAAGGTAAATTACCTATTTAATATAGTAGACCCGAAACTCTTCCAAAACGCTCGCCTTTGAGTTTGACTATGGTTGCCCATGAAATTTGAGAGAGATCCTCACGGTCTCCAAACCGGAAGTGCCGGTTCTTCATCAGTTATTCTTAAGTGTGTTATAGTAAGTGAAGAATCTTGGCTCGGGTTGGCTGGAATGTTGTGTTGAAAGACAACATTCCAGCCAAGCCCCCTTCTCCATATTTCTAATTTCCAATGTACAGAAATTCGAGTTTCTGAGAGAGTTTCTAGATCGCAACAATTATGCATCTTTCGCAATCAGTACTCACAGTACTCGGTACTGCCACTCAAGTATCTGAATGGGGCTACAATGCTCATGACGGCCCTTTGCTGTGGTCTAGTCTCAACACAATTTGGGGGACGTGCCGCACAGGAAGGCACCAGTCTCCAATTAACCTTGATAATAGAGTCGATGGAGTTGTTCTTGGAGATACAAACGAATATCATCTACAATATGCCTCGCCTCTCGTGGATGTACCATTTTACAACACGTATGTAGATCGCAGACTCGCACGCCTCGATCAACTTCTGCCAGTCAAAAGTCTGAGAAATCTCACTTATCCCTAGAGATACTGATTCTTTCTTCACTTGAATATATTTAGGATCAAACAATACTGACTTTCGGAATTTGTAGACACCACACTGTGAAACTCGACGTAGAAACCAACAGCAAAGACTCTACTCTAACCTTCGGAGGTGCAATCTATACCCTTGAATCAATCCATTTCCACGTCCCCAGCGAACATCAAATTCGGGGCGAGTCTTCCTCTATGGAAGTACACCTTGTGCATAAAAGTAGAAGTAAATAAACCCTTCCTCATACAAATCGGCTCCATGAAGATAAGATCATTTGAAGAGCTAACAAAAGCAAGCTCCAACTCCGACTTTAGCAGTCATAGGCTTCGCCATCGAAGTTTCGGCAGGAACTTCCAATGCTCAACTCAACACAATTCTCTCTCGAGCAAGGGACGCGCAACCACCAGGTTCCAATGCTGGGTTCAGTTTTCCAATTTTGTACCTTGACACCATAGTTCAACATTTCAAGAGAAATCTAGTTTACCGGTATGTCCATATCCATATCCATCCAATCTCACCAAAGATTTCTGACAGTTCTGCAGATACTCGGGCTCCTTGACGACCCCACCATGCGAGGAGAATGTAGAATGGCTCTTCAGCGCCGAGCCATTGGCGATTGACATCGGCGCGTTCAAGATAGCAAAAAATGTTTCAGGGTCCAATTTGAGATATATACAGAGCAACCCCGGGGTTAAAAATGTGCTTCAGGAGGCTTGCAGTCGCAAATAGGAAGCGAAGTTGACGGTACGTCTATTTCTAGAGTGGGAGGTTTTCATGCAAGAATTTTGTTGCAAGACTGATACTAGCATTTTGAAAACGACAGATTTAACAACGCGAGATATTTTGGCTCAAGTTCAAAGAGTTTAATAGAGTCGACGAAGGAAAAGCTAACTTGGAGTTGTCCAGTCACTTAAACCTATTCGTAGTAATGCACCCCTTTAGACTCAACCGTAGCCGCAGCCGGCATTGCTTTTCTTAATGCCCCCTTTCCATAGCGGCAACGCTACTGCGTCTAGCGAAGGCTATAGCCACTACTGCAGTCTAGCTACCCCACTACTTTACTCAAAATCCCAATGCCGAGGCCATACTTCCAGATGATGAGGAGATGTGGAGGTAGTGGAGAAAGGCACTCATTATGTATATAAAGTCGAGGTCATTCCAGTTGCAGTTAAAAATTCACCGTACATCCAAACCGAAAATATGCTTGCCATCAAGTCAATCATCCTCCTATTTACATCTGCAGTCCTCGCGACTTCCATCCCTCGAGATGCCCACGCACTCGGCTATGAACTCCTTTATTCGGACTTGGTAGCTCTTGACAAAAGCGTGAACACCCTCACTGCCGCCGTGAACGCGTATACGAACGGTACTGAAGAAGCAGCCCCGATTCTCGCGGGAGTTTCGTACGTCAACGCGACAAATCGAAAGGGGTATTACGATGCTATGAGCGACAGAGTTGCCGTGCAGAATTTGAACGATTCTATTACCATTGCAGATTATGTCGCGGATCCGATGTAAGCTTTCCGTTTCCTACTAAAATGGCAACCTAACATCATGGACCAGTGCCGTTGACATCACCGCGGGTGTCGCTGCTATCATTCAGAAGAAAGACCCACTCGTAGAATCCGGGTTGCCGCAGCAGATCTTGGACGGCTTGAATCTGCTGGTGATGGATCATGAGACTTTGAGTGCGGCTATTGCAGCGAAGTTGGATCCTGCGGCACTTGTGGTGGCTGCAGTGCCGGTTGCAGAGATTGATGTAGCTATTCGGAGTGCCATTGCCGACTTTGAGCTATGAAGGAAAGGGATCGGACCTTGAGAAGTAGTATGTAGTACAATTAATTTATAGAAAATAAACTTTTTCTGTTGAGGAGCGTTCTATGAGTGAGGAGTACTGTAGTTGCCCGAGTAGAGTCGAAGTGAGGTTAAGAGACACAAATTTTGCAATCAAGTTGCAAGATAAATAAGGAAATGGGCTATGGCAAACTTGCTCTGAATGGGGTGAGGGGAATTCGGCAGCCATGACAAGGAAGAACTATAAACTTATGACTTGTGAAACGAAATCAAATCATGGCATATCAGAAACTCTAGTCCTCAGGGCGGACAATCCAGGGATCTAATTTCGTGTAGCATCATACATTCTCAGGTCGGCCCATAGCTCCGCAACTCCACGCTTCAAACTCATAATTCGTCTCTCGTAACCTTCCGTAGCTCACATTTCCAGCATAGCTCTAAAAGCGAAGTATGCTCCTATAGCACCCACAGCCATCGCTAACATAACGCCTCCACCCTCCAGCGTAGTCGTAAAATACATCGCGAACCCAGCAATCAATTCCAGCTTCCTAGCTCTCTCCCTCTTGCTCTTCCAATCGATATCGATCTCAAAAGGAGGATGTATTCTCGGATCATCTGCATCTTCATCTTCCCCAGGTGCGGGTATCTCGCAGAAGGGCACAGTAACTTCTAATGTTACAGGTCGGTGATCGGATGTTGGAAGTAACGGAAGAACGCTGTATTTGTGAACTATTACATCCGTGGGTACTGTGCTGCAGAGCCAGATGGGAGCATCGAGGAAGAGAATCCGATCACACCAACTCGGCCACCGGTGTTTTGCCCAGTTCCACTCTTTTAGTTGGTCGTCAGGAGTGAGGAATGGTCCTTTGGATGTGTATTTGTATGTTGGAGGAAAGGTGACGGCTGCCTCATCTAGGCCATGAAGTGTTCTATTTGCGCTTCGTTCTTGGGTTAGTTGGTCGTGCTCGAAGAGTGAGGAGTAATGGCGTGGGGACGAATCGTCTTCATGTGGTTGTGGGAATGTTTCTTTGTGGTCACTGCGTGAGGGGGACATCGATGAAGTGCGGTAGTTGAGATCGCCTGCTACGAAGAGGTAGGAGGTTGGTTTGTAGATTGAGGCATCGCGGGGTGAGATTGAGAGGAGGGGTCGATTTTCTGCAGCGAGGGAGGTCGCTGATCTCCTCTTAGTGGTGGAGGAGAATACCAAACCGCGGACTATATTCTTCCAGTCTTCGTTTCGACGCTTCACTTCCCATTCCATCGCTGCCAGGTGTGCAGCGACGAAGGTGAGCTCTACAGATGTGCTAACTCTGCGGTATTTGAGTCGTATTGCAGCGGCACCTTTATTCCCCATTTCTGCCAGACCTACACCGACTCCTGCATATTCTATATCTTCTGTCCATGTCTGTTTCTTAGCAAAAACCATAATGCCGGTCATGCCCAAGTTCCGTGCTGCTATCGGATCGTATAAGGGGAGGTCGTCGGTTGCATCTGACCACTTTCGAGCGCCCTTCTGGACTGCATGGTTGAATCTGATGAAGTATGGGACGAGAAACGATCCGCCGATCAAGCTGTGGGGTATTGGAGCGATTTCCTGAAGGGAGAGGACGACGAGGTCTGGCAGCTCCGAGGAAGTGAGGTTGGAGAATAATTGCGAGGCGAAGGCTTCTGTGTCTATGTAAGACCTTCCGCAATTGAAGGTCACGATGTATATGTTGATGTCGGCCATCCTTTCACGGCATGGTAGGTTGAGGATTTGAGGTTGTTGATGTTCAACGATCTAACAGTCGCGAATCTAAAGAGGTCGTGTGCTGCTGCAAGATTACGTCATAGCGCCAAAGCCTGGACGACCTGAAATTCGTGGCCGATTTTGCGATAGTGCCCAATTCACAAAATGTAAAGTATTGCGCATAATAAATTAAGTTTATACCTAATATTTTTTAATAAGAACGTGAAATAGTTTTTTGATAAGTTAGAATTTAAGTTTAATTGAAAACAAACTATGTAGTAGTGCGTAATACTCGAGTTAGTATAAGACATTTTAGTGTTCTCGAGTCCCAAAATACCAAAATCGGCTAGGATTTTCATAGATGGAGAGGACGACACAGCCGAGCATTTTTGAGTAATGACTGTGGCACCAGTATTAATATTGTATTGCATTACTTTGATAGTCTCTCTCAGACGATATTGTTTCCATTTCGCTTCCAACGTGGTTAGGTACCGTTGCCGCTCTACTCAGGAGCTACCCACCTTTGTCTCACCCTCTACTCAGGTTACTCAGTCACGTTTCTACTCTCCCTTGTTTGTATAGCCGGAACTATAAAGTAAGCGAGATAATTAACTTCATATACATAGGTACATTAGACAAGTGGGGCGCGATGAAGGTTGCGTCCCTCATTAGATTGTGGGTTCTCTCGCTCGGAAGACTACCATGTGGGTAGGATGTGTGGATGTGAGCGCGAACAAGATGTGAACAGGGTGCGAATAAGATGGGGTCGAAGGACTGAAAGTTGCACTGCTTCACCACTCCATCGTTTCCTCCAGAGATAATCTTACAATGGCGGGCCTCGAAAACAGGCACTCCGCGACCTGTCTCGACGACCACGCTCCCACGGGCACCTCCAATGTATCCAACACGCCTCCAGCCTCGGCTCTCAAGATCACACGAGATTCATGGAAGGACAATAAGAAGGGCATCGCGATATGTTTCCTCATCAACATGGCTATGTTCGAATTTGGCCTGGATCAAGGCATGGTGAGCGGTTTCCAAGCCATGTCCGGCTTCTTGCATGACTTTGGCTATCAAGACCCTCACCTGCCAGGAGGCTATGGAATCTCTACGACGGTGCAACAGCTCATCACCAGCCTCGTGTCGGCCGGCATGTTCGTTTCCACCTTTGTATCAGGCTGGATGAGCAACAAGATAGGACGCAAAGGTGGCCTCTGGGTGGCCATTTTCTTGATGATACTCAGTGTCACGATTCAGATTGCCGTCATCAAGCCCGGAGCTCTGTACGCAGGTCGCATTCTGCTGGGCTTCTCTAATGGCCTCCTCCTCGTTTGTGCACAGCTGTACGTGCAAGAGACCATCCCGTCCAACCTACGTTCCCTAGCCTATACATTTTATCAATTCTGGATCAGCTTTGGCGCGTTGCTCGGCACGGTAATCAACAACGAAACTTCGAAGAGGCTTGATCGATCATCCTATCGCATACCCTTAGCCGTCCTTTACATCCTCCCAGTACTGCTTGCCATCGCACTCCTCTTCCTGCCCGAGACGCCACGACATCTTGCTGCCCATGGGAAGTACGACGAAGCAACACAGGCGCTTCGCTTCCTACGTGATGCCGCCTACACTGATCTCCAGATTAGGGAGGAAATGGCGGAGATCAAACATGCCATCGAGATTGATGAGGAGATCATCAACACCATCGGCTATCGTGAACTGTTCCGTACAGCTTCCATCAAGCGCACTCTGACCTCATTGGCCTGGGTCTCTTTTCTGCTGCTAATGGTGTTCCTTTCGTTGTTCAGTATGGCGTCTACTTCTTCATGTTGTCTGGAGACACGCAACCTTTCCGGGACGTCGTCATCCTTTCCTGCGTTGGTCTTGCCGGTGTTCTAGTCACCCCCCTTTTCACCGGCCAAGTGGGCAAGAGGTTGATATTAATGACTGGTGGTTTAGTACAAGGGTTGTGCATGCTCGGTATGGCACTTTCATACTCTATTCGCGGCATTGACGGGGTCAGTGGAAGGGTGATCATCCCCATGTCTTGCCTTTACTTGTTTACTGCTTCATCCACAACATCGCCGTACTCGTGGCAGGTCGCAGGCGAAGTTCCAGCGCAACGGCTCCGTGGTCACACTCTGGGATTCGCCTCGTCGGTAACTTACCTCTGCGGATGGTCCATCACATTTACAATCCCATATTTCATCAATCCAACGGCGTTGAATTGGGGTGCACAATACGCATACATTTGGTTCGCCAGCAACCTCCTGATTTGCGTCTTTACCTTTTTTGTTGTGCCAGAGACGAATAAGCGTACTCTCGAAGAGATTGATGAATGCTACATCCAAAAGATTCCAATCCGAAATTTCCCACGCTACGAATGTGTTGGCACAATGAGCTCGCGGCTGGAAGCTGTACAAAAATTGGAATCGGAGCACGAGTAAACTTACGACCATCGTGAATGAGAAGACTAAAAGGAATACGCGAAGATCGTTGATCATCTTCGACCAGAAAAACGAGGTTCTTGATTTTTGTACCCTTGCCGCGGTGAAGCAAATAATGCATTATGGGCCTTGTACTTTTGAGCATTAAGTAGTAAATACATGAATATTGCAGAATCCTCTTGTCTTCTCGATCACTCGTTCATTCAAGCGAGTCCATTTTCAGTACCAACTTGCCCGGCGCGCCAGCGTGGTAATCCTGGACGAGCTCATTGAGCTTTCCAAACGGGTATTCCGACTTCCTAGCTCGCACACCATGCTTCATACAAAAGTCAAACATGTCTCTCATGGCCCGATTAGACCCAATTAGCGTGCCCTCGAGCCTAATTCTTCTGAACACAAGATCCATCGCCGACACATGGAAGCCGTCTGATGGAAAAGAGACAACAATGACCCTTCCTCCATCACGGACAAGCTCAACGCCGTAGTCGAATGCCTTTTGTGTATCCGGCAAGATCAACACCGCATCCAAGCCCATTTCAGATGGTAACTTCCAGCCATCTTCCTCACCCATCTACCGCTTGACTTCCTTAGCAGTTTCTTTTGAGGCGTCGATAATTGTAGCTCCTGTCTCTAGCTCCCGCGCAAGTTGTAGTGCACGAGGCGCTACATCAACCCCCATCGTCTTCAGACCCATCTTAGAAGCGAACTGCAAACCCAAATGACCCAACCCACCACCACAGCCCATGATACCCACTCGCTGCCCAGGGCTGAGCTCGCACTTCTTGATCGCGGCAAACATTGTGAGCCCTGCACACATGAGCGGCGCAACCTCCGTAGCTGTGAGTCCGTCGGGTATCAACGCGAGCTGCCTCGCATCAACAATAGCATACTCTCGAAAACCGCCTGACTGTTGGCATCCCAGACCCGCACCCGAGAGAGGGCAGAAGACTGAGAACCCCGGAGGATCGGGTAAAAGAGGCGATGGCTCCTGGCATTCGCGGCACTGTCCGCACGTATGGTATCCGCGTCCTGATACGGCAACGCGGTCACCCAGACGGTAGCCGTGGCAATCATCGTCCTTCTCTTTCCCCGGCGGTAGCCCAACGACGGTACCGGCGAACTCATGGCAGCCGATGTGCGGGAGTGCCGGTGGAGTGACAGTACCTGCGGCTACGACGGCGTCGGTGTGGCAGTATGAGCAGGCTTCTACACGGATTAAGAGGTCATTTGGGTCTTCGACGGCGGGGAGAGGGAGCTCGCGTAACTGGTAAGGGGTGTTGAATTCTTCAAGAACCCAAGCTTTCATTCTTGCGGGAAGCTGCGTTTCGGCCATGGTGGTCAAGTATCAGTATCAGGAATGCCCGCTCAGTTCAATTTCACAATTCATCACTTGGCAAATGCCGTCTCCCAATCTTCAAACAGCTTTATACACAGTTTGCAAAATTAACCTTGCAAGCCTCAATTCAGGTTATGCGGGGCCGGACATGTAGAGATGGGGCCCCTGCTGAGGATGGGAATCTGCATGTTGTCACAGGCATTGCCAGGTAATCGAATTTGGGACGGCAAAGATGTCTGAACTCGGGTGGAGACGAAACTCCAACATCGACATGTAAGAATCCAGACATTACTTAGTAGTTCAATGAAAAGCACATCCCTCACGGAGTCTGCGCTACGCCAACCTAGGCAGCCATGTCGTATCTGTCCATCCTGAGGACGTCTCTTAATGACAAGCTCCAACAACTAGAGACTCAATTGTCGGCAAGCATCCATAGTAGCTCCCCGCATTTACTAGAAGCGTATCCGTATCTGGCATTCGACGATGCAGATAATTTACCTTCGAGAAAAGTATTCGATCTGATGGAGCAAATACACATTGACCTGAAAGCTGTCGATTCTCTGATTACCCCAACAAGGTTCAAGTTGGTCGACCTTGGAACTCTACATTATAAGTCTGCAGCATTAAATGCAGCTGTAGAATTGAATGTTGCGGAGGTTATTGAAGTGTTCGGAGGCGAAGTGACTCTTGAAGATTTGGCAAAGAAACTTGACGTCAATGAGCACAAGCTAGGTATCGTTCCTTCTACTGATTGATGTATTGTTATGTGCTAACCATTACAAGGCAGGATACTGCGTACGTTGACAGGAGAATTTATCTTCCAAGAAACCTCGCACAATGTCTTCAAAAATACAAGACACAGTATCGCACTTGCCGGGTCACAAGGCGCGCGCTCGTTCCTTTCTTTCATGCAAGTAACCTGCACTACCGTCACAACTGCTCTCCGCTCACAGCTTCGCATAGTACAGGTTTAGGCATGGAATGTGCAACCGGAATTCCAAAAGACCTTTCCAACCCCGAGACCAAGCATTCCTTCGCCGACACTACTGCACCATTTTGCAAGGTGGTATCGAAGAACGGTCAGACATTCGCTCAATACATGGGCAACCCAGAGAACGCGGCGATGGTTGAGCTAGGAAATGAGGGTATTGTTGGATGGTTGAATGTGCGTTTCAATGTTCAAGCATGACTGGTTTCTATGCTGACCTGCTCGCGGAGCAGAAATTGACAAGAGCGGCATTGCTTTGTGATTATCCTTGGGCGGAATTGGGAAGCGCTAAAGTCATTGATCTCGGAAGTGGCACGGGAGACTGTGGCATGGATTTGATGCGCAAGTTTCCTCAATTTAGCTGGGTCTATCAGGATCTTGAGCCTGTTATCGAAAGCTTGAAGAGAGTAAGTAAAATCCATTACAGGTAAACATTCAAATATCCATACTTATCTTTGTGGAGGACTTCCCCAGGGACTTGATAGATCTCGTCGATGAGGGGAGAATATCTTTTGTCGTGCAAGATTATTTCCAGCCAAACGCAAGCGATGGAAACGTATGGTATATGAGAGGCGTTTTGTAAGCTACCCTAACTGATCCGAACAAAGACAAATTTATTTACTAGTAAATGTAATTGCAGGCATGAATACAATGACGACCAAGTCCTGGCGATCCTCAACCACCTCACTACTGCCATGCGAAGGACACCTAACTCTAAGATGATTATCAACGAGGTCCTGAACTCAAGTCCGATAATTGTCCCGACATCGTCAATGTCAGCAGCATCGGAACATATTCCTGGCTCTCAATCAGCGATGGCAAGCACGGCCAACATCATGACCTGGAGCACATTTTCACTATTTGGAGGGAAGGAGAGATCTTATCAAGAATATGAGATTTTGCTAAATACAGCTGGGCTGAAGATATCTAGATTCTTCCAATTTCGGACTTTTACAGTCATGCTTGAATGCGTACTTGCATGATTCAGATTCAGATTTCAAAGTTGCCTTACGTGCAGCATGCAATGAATTGTTTTCCCTGTTCTGCGATAACTTATTATATCTTCGCTCCCCCGTTCACATCTGGTATCCTGCATTGCTCAAGCTGCTCCTGCATCTTTTGAGAAACCTCTTCCCACCCGTCCTCCACCGCTTTCTCCGCATCATGCACCCACAAATGATAACTGTCCAGCACCCCCTTACTCGTATCTAAATCCTTCATCTCCATCGTCTCCTTATCATGCAAATTATGCCATTTATCCCTCTGACTAATCCCAACCTGCTGTGCTGCCTTGACATGCTCATACCGTATCGCAAAATAGGTATGCAGCGCCAACGGTACTTTCCCCTTCCCTGCTTTTGCTAAACTTAAAGCGACGGTGGCTCCGTCCTCAACAGCTTGACTTGCGCCTTGGGTTGATGTGGGAAGAAATGGATGTGCCGCGTCGCCCATTATGGCGATCAGACCAGAATCAGATATCCATTTATCCAAGCAGGGTCGATATACGAGTTTCCAGTCAATGATATTCTCGATTCTTTCCCAAACACGCACCAAGACGGGATCCCAGCCCTTCAAAGCTTCGAGAATGTCTTTGCGATACCCAGGCAAATTCCAGCCTTCGGAGATGTCAGCCTCGTCCTTGTGGGTCAGAACAGCGTTGATTTCTGTGCAATCGCGAAGTATGCTCACGAAGCCGTGGAGATCGGGACCGATCCAGAGTTGGGTAGTATCTACGGCTAGTCGTCAGTGGACTTCCGCAAATGTGCAATTGCTCAATGTCAAACTATCACTTACCCTTCTCAAGAAGCGGCGACACAAGCTCATCATCCTTGAACATCTTCGCATCCGAGTAAGCCCTCCAAACAGCATACCCACTATGCAACGGCTTATCTTCAAACCCAAGAACCCGAGTCCTACCCGTGCTCTTGACACCGTCACTAGCAATAACTGCATCCGCAACAATCTCTTCTCCCGATCGTAGGAAGATACTTGGCTTATTCGCATCGTACCTATCGATCCTCTCACCCATCCTCACATCGACCCCACGCTTCTTACAGTGCTCAATAAAAATGGCGTGATAATGGCCCCTATGCCCGATCAGCCCTCTATGCCCATAGATCTCCTCCGCACTTCCCAACGTCCCATCTACCGTAATGACACTCCCATCGTAATTCCTCATCACGGTATCTTCAGCGCGCGACGAGATTGCCCAAAGATCATCGTACAGACCCCAGCGCTTGAACAGCTTGGAGCTATTGGAGCTGAAGCCAACGGAATCGCCCAGAGGAAAGAATTCGGCCACTTGGTCGAAGAGCGTGACGCGCATGCCTTGAATGGCGCAGGCAAAGGCGCAAGAGCAGCCTCCCAAGCCGGCGCCGACGATGACGACGTGAAGGTTGGATCCTGTGCTATTTTGGGTCATTTTGTGGGGTGAGAAATCGTGGAGGAGAGAGTTCGATTGCTTTTTTGACTCAATTTCTAAAGCGGTTGCTTGACATCTGGATCTTCAATCAGCTCGCTTCACTGGGACCCTGAGTTGGTGGGGCAGCTACCACACACAGCTTGTTGATCTCCAGGGGTTACTTCTTCAGCGGTCCAACCTGAGTTCTATGCATTTTCCCGGTTTATTGGATCTTGATTGACGATGCATGTAGGGCTCCGATGCTCTTCAGCTCCTAGTGGCTACATTATCTCGCCTCCTGATGCACGGCTCCACCCGGTTATATAGAGTTCACAGCTTTTGGTCAGTCCAATTGCGACTTTGAGAGAGATTTCATTGACCCAGTCAGACTTGAGTCTGCTAGCAGTGGTTGAAAAAGAGTTTATTGCAGTTGGATCAACCAAACTGTGCGCACGTCATGTGTCAATGGACGGCCAACCCATCTGCAACCCTTCTTCCACAAGGGATTTTCACCTCTTTGCAACTCAAGACGAGAAGTCTTCGCACTTCAGGTGATGCCGTGAAGCTGAATCTAACGAAGATTTTATCTAGTCTGAAACCTCGTCTCGATCAACCTACTCTACGCCATCAAACTTCCAGGCGACGTTGTATGTACCGTATACTCTAGTAGCTGCGCAGGAATCTAGACTGCTTCATCATTTACCTTGGTGTCGGCCTTTCCTCCCTTTTTCTGTCGTAATTGCTCATCAAACTTCTTTCCTCCCTCTTTCAGCTTTGCTTCATCTGGGCGAGACAGCTCGATCTGCGGCAACAACGCAAATGCGAAGAAGAATGCTAGGCCAGAAAGTCCCGCTCCCACAAGAAAGATCGTCCTGAAACCTACTTTGTAACCTGCGACGAATACATCTTTAAGATCGACGCTTGTGGAAGTCCCAGGCAAAGTGACAGAGCCTGCCAGGACTTCGCTCGGATTATCAAGAAGCCATTGTAAATTGCTTGAGGAAATGTCTGCTACTTGAGATAATTTTGAGCGAAGGTTGTTGTTACTTCTCAATATTAGTATCGATCCTTTTAGGAATCATCCTCATACTCACATGATTGTGCCCGCTATGGCTAGACCTAGAGTTGCTCCAAGGTTGCGTATGAAACTGCGGAATGAAGTCACAATCGCCATGTCTTTTCTCGGCACCCCTGCTTGAATAGCTATAAGCGATCTAAGATCTGTGAGTCTTTATCAACCCAGAGAGAAACAGGGGATTAATGTTTGATGTTAGGTCTCTTGAAATATCTCTCGAAAAGAAAAGAATACGGAACACTTCATGAGCTCGCGAACGACAACGGCGAGATTCCCTGAGTATTCATCTGCTGCGATCTACCATACCAGTACATCAACGATTATTTCGAGAAGCTTAATGAGTCATGGTTCCCAGAAGTCCACAACAGACACCTCACAGAAGTCGATCTGTATAACAACTATGACACTTTAGAGCGAGAAGCTGGCGTTGTAATCCCAGATTTCTACCAACTTTCCTCCTCGCCCACGGCCCCTCTGACGCTACCATGGACGCCTCGTCCCAAAAGTGCCGTCATTGATCTAAGAACACCATCTGAGTTCGCAATCTCCCACCTCCCTGGTGCGGTCAATATCCCTATCTCAACTCTCACGCCAGATAGTCCTTCACCATTCACTGATTCTCAGTTGTTCGCCGCGCAATGGAGAGAGCTGGAGGTACTCTTCGGCGGCGGTACTCTCGAGACAGCATCACCCTTGGCTGAGAAGTTCTTCCCAATGGAAAGAGTCCTGGTGGTCTGTAATGATGGCGACACAGCCCGAGTTGCAGGAAGCATTCTTGGCGCCAAAGGAGCTAAGACTGAGTGTGTGAGCGGAGGCTTGACAGCGATTGACAAATGGATCTATGGAGACGTTAAAAATCGCACTTTAGGAGAGCTGAAGATACCCGATTTGCCTGATGAGATTGCTGCTGTACCTGAGGTCAATGAAACGAAGCTTCCAAATGGACATGGGCCAGTTGGAGAAGAAGTTAAAACCGCGACGAAAGTCGATGCTGAAGCAAGGGTCGGGATCAGGGAGATAAGGACTAATAGAGATGATCTAGTTGTGGTATAATGTATTGTTCTGCATTATGGAATGGCTTCTTGCGCTGTGGTTTAGGAACTACAATTTTCTTCATTGAATTTGAATCTGTGCATATTTCGGTACATGTTTGGCAACTGAGCAAACACCTAAGATTAAGTCTTTGTGGTCTCCAAAGAGACCACATTCGAAAGGTTTTGAGTCGTAACTCGTTGTAATAACAACCACATAAATTACACAGCCGTAAAAGGGCGGTCTTCAGGCTCGGTTATACTTGCCTCGCACTGTCCACGGCCCGTCCCGGAATCTTTCCCACTTACCTAAGTAAGGAATATATTTACTTTTGCGCTTAATTATATTTGACAAATTTTCGACGTAATCATTAATATACATTTTTATCGATACATAGGCTTGAATGGAGCAGGTGACACAGAACTCCACACGCTCAACACGTTACATTGCATAGCAACTGGTTGCGCCGCTGTCATGCTCCGTAGATCACGCCCACCTCAGGAAGGACGGGTCACGCTTTTGATTAATCACGAACTATTAGTGTTGGGTCTCTGTAAGGCCTAGAGCGTCTGAGTCAACGCCCGTCGGCCAGCTAGTAAAGCCTCAGGTTTGTGCTTTGCATGAACTTCATGCATGGATATGTCTTTTAAACCCCGCCTCTTACATATGGGGCCGCCGTCATCGTATCACTCAAAAGTCATGGTCGGCGCGGACTCCGTTTGCTCGTATCGAAACGCAAAAAGAGAGACGGAAAAGCCTTGACCAAAAGCAAGATCATCGATCCTACGAACACGTCAGCTCGCACCCCTTACAACCTCTCCCGTGATGGAAGAGCAGTTTTGAGCTTATGGGGTTGAGAAGCTCCGTGCGAATCGGTGATGAGCTGACATTGGGCTGAACGGGTTTGTCATTACATTTTGCTCGTAGCTTACTTCCTGCCCCCGATGGTAATAGTTCAGTGTATGATTTATCTTAGAGGAGGCAGATTCGGGAGAGTTCCAAGACTGTGAGGTATACTCTCTTCGACCGTCTCATTACCTGCAGAAGACAAGACTTACAACAATGGCACAGCATCAATGTCACAATGTCTTCAAAGGACCAGACTCAATGGTTCAATACTTCAATCCAGATTTGCAACCGTTCCTGCCTTTAGTTGAGATCCCCGACAAACTGAACCCTTTCCGAAGCAGCAATGTGCGGATATACGCTAAAATGCTCACCGCACTGCCGGCGCAAAATGTGAAAATGCTTCCAGGCAAACAATCCATTCATGTAAAAGCAAGCCCGTGCTAATGCTTCTAAGCTTTGAACATGCTGTTGCACGATCCCTCTGCGGCCACCAAATCGATAGTCGAAGCCAGCTCTGGCTCAACGGCTCTCTCACTTGGCATGGTTTCTCGAGTCTTGTGGGGGAATGAGGATGTTTGTGCATATGTGACGAACAAGAAACATCCAGACCAGCTGCGAACTCTGCGTTTCTTTGGACTTAGAGTGTAAGTAAGGTATATGTTGGCAGACTTTCTTGTTCATTTCTGCATAGTTCCCTTTACGGAGGTTTAGCACAGCAAGAGCCCGACGATGCGAATGGCATCATGTGTAGATTAAGAAACTTGGCCACAAATGATGAGACGATTAGCTATCCCGGACAATACGATAACGATGATGCAAGTTCACTTGAGTCCCCCGGGTGGTTCATTTGCTGAAGTTCTTAGAATTGGAGATCGCATGAGCGCTGGACAGGTCCGCAAATTTGGCAACAACTACCTGATATAAATATTTTTTGCACTACAGTGGGAACAGGAGGTCGGTAAATGAAAAGGCGACTCGCTTATGTTACTAACATACATTATTGAGCAGGATGCATCACTGGGACAGGAAAGCACTTGAAATCGCAGAAGCAAGCAGTGAAAGTTGTTGGGTGAGTTGTGAGTCCGAACTTATCTCTCGGTGCTGACAACTTCTGAGAATCTGCAATGTGTTCGGAGACCCGACTCCAGGGCCAAGGCATTATCCCAAATTCGAGAGCTGCAAGTTTCCTTGGAGGGAGAATATAGACGCTTTTGAAACAGTTGCATCCGTTGAATCTTACGAGATGTCGATGCAGCTCTCACGTGAAGGTTTGATCTGCGGACCATCCTTTGGAGAAGCTTTAGTTGGACTACTCCGGTACTTGAAGAAGCTCGAAGCTACAGGCCGTCTCGAGGAGCTCAAGGGCGAAACAAGTGGAGACATATCTTGTGTTTTTGTTTGTTGTGATCTGCCGTATCAATACATGGATGGCTATTTTCAAAAGATACAAGACGACAAGTTCCCCCCAATTCTGAACGAGGTGCGATCTGCTTTAGTTATTCTTGTACTAATTCGCACTGACAATAAAGATCCTCCTTAAATGCGACCAGGACAAATACGACGAACGCTGGGAGCTGAGGCCCGATCAAATCCTTCGAGCTATCTCGAGCAGAATGAAAGGAAAACCCTCCTTTCGAAGTTGTCACGAGCAGTCGTGCAAGAAACGTGCCCATGGCTCTGCATTTTGGACTCGAAGGTCAATTGATGACTAGCTACTTCATTACTTCGCTTAAGAAATCGTCGAGGACAACGCAAGAAGCCAGACTCCTCGACAGAATGAATCCTCTCTAGCAGCCAACCTCAATTTGAAGAAGATCCCTTGCCACTGAGCCCTTCCCAAGTATGTCTCCGAGCAGGAATCCCGCATTTTCTCACTTATTACGAGGCTTCTTGGCCTGCTTGTACACAATTGTGTACTCAAGCGGAGCATCATCAAGCTTCTGCTGCTTCCGTACTTGTCTCTGTTCCTCCCTGCCCTTTGCCCTCATGCTATTCATCAAGGTTTGATTTGTCTTGTTAAAAATGTAAAATATTTCTTAGACAAATTTTCCGGGATTGTCGAGGGTGTGCAAAGCTTGATCTCTCGCTTTGAGCATTGCAAGCGGTAGAACGGAAGCGCCACGAATATCTGTACATAGAGCTCGGACTCTGATATAGAGGATGGCACTTCAACGATGACGTGCAGGTGTTCAAGGTCCGTAAAGGCGAGGAGGCGATCGGCCAGCTGCTCAAGGAGATGCAAGAAATCCGACTTCCTGAAGGTTTCGATATCGCTAAACCCGGTGGTCTTGCTGATACTAGATGCGCTCAAGTGTCGGAGACCAAGCTTGACTTTCAGATGTCGGGTCTCTGAGAAGAAGTGCGCACGGAGTTTTGAAAGGTGCTTCAGAACTGATTCGACGTTCTGTGCGGTCATGTTGTTAGTATACTTGAAAGTAAAGAATTTCAGGCAAATGATGAGACTTCTCATGCACACTTTCTGCAAAGTAATTTACACAGTTCTCTGTTTGATTGAAAAGGATAACATTGGAGGGGACAACACTTACGTTGCCATTGATGTCAGAAAACTCAACTTCGATCTGTACCCAGCTGCAAGCTAGGAGGTCTTTGCGCTCGCTACCTTCCAGCTTGCGATTGATCTGATCGGTAAGACAATAGTACTTCGGATCGAATGGAAAGGTGTGTCTGCGAATGACCTTTCCAAGGCCAGTGACAGTCTCGTGGCGTTGGACTTGAGTGCGAATGATGCCATCAGAAGATATCAAAATATCTGCATTCTTGCCTCTGGTTCGGACGTACGACTTTGTGGTGATGGTAGGCTTCGAGTCGACAGTGGTCCAGGATTGTTCAAAGACGGTTGATGTGGCTGCTTGGGCAGTTTCGGGAGTATGCGCCATGTTTGCGACGGTTTGCTGATGAATCTGCTCGAAGTGTCGACGAGGTTTATCGCCGAGGTCGAAGGTGCTTGACTAGAAGGTAATTAAATTAAACCCATGGTCCATATACGCATGATAAACCTTTCTTGTTTTTTTTAATAGAAGATGGTGTTCTAGTAGGGCGAAGGTCACTGTGGTCAGGATGGTGATGTGTCGAAAGAAGAAATGTCGAGGCTGATGGAAGAGGAAGAAGTCCGCAAAGTGCATACGAAGTACGTTACTAGATAGTCAGTGCATTCAATTTACGTTAGCGAGCATATTTGTACACTAGTCGTCTCTTCTCTAGATAACTGATTAGTGGGTGACATATCCATATACTCAAGACCGCAAACTGTAATGAGGGCGATGGCCGCCATATGACTCCAATCTCTAAACCACAAATACACCCAATCGACGTTTACAAACATCGTTCTTCACGTACTATACGTAATCACGAAGACTGCTGCAAACAAATCTTTCCCGTACCCTGAAGATCAAACATAGCATGATGTCCTATACACTTGCCAGCTGTCACTTAAGAATTCCTCGGCATGGAGAAGAATATGATTTAATGATTATACCTTCACTTGCTCATTCTAGATGAATGAAGAGTCGAGCTCTAAAAATATGTTGTCCCAATCAAAACTGTTGACATCAATACCTTGCTCGAAGCTCTGAGTGAAATTATTCCAATACGAGGACAGATCATCTCCTCCTTCATTTGGTGGTCCATCCTCCGCTATGTTCAGGCTATCAGTGACTCCGATGTAAGAAGACATTGGGGGAACGATCGCGCCACATTCGCTGTAACCAGGAGCTTGAGAAACATCAAGAGCCATATCTGTCTGAGCAGGAGCCCGAGGCTGCTGATGGGTCGAATCGAGAGGCTGCTGGTTGTACTTTTGTAGAATATGCACCAAGGAGCCGACAATCTTAGCAGTTGTTTGTGACTCATTCTGTGCTTCCTGGATAATCTGAAATGATTTGTACACCTCTTCTCGCTGCTGCTCATTTTGTGGGGATAACGGATTGGTACAAATATCCATAAGAAGAACAATGCAGGCTAAAAAGACACCGATCAAGAGCCCGGCGAATTTGAAGCCTGTTGCACAGTCGATGTCCGAGTTTTCCAGCCACAACTTCGATTGGATAATAAGGTGCGCATACTTAATGCAGATGTCGCGTGATGGATAGTATGCTGGGTTTTCAAAGCTATGGGCGAAAAATGGAAAGTGAAGCTTGCATCTTTGCGTATAAAGTAAGAAGTAAGTTGTCAACCCCTGAAAAACGACTTTCTCTGCTTGTGATTGAGTCAGCCGATAAGTTTGCATCAATGCGGATTTCGACATGGAGTAAAACTCTGGAACGTCGTTGATAAGTGTCTGTAACTCGGTATCGATATCCATAACAGCATCGTGACTCAGACCGTCCGTGTGCGCCATGGCGAGAGGACTTCGCTCGACGATACTGCGAGAGATCTCTGCGAGGCGGATTCTCTGCATTGTATAGGACATTGCCGTTGGCTGAGATAGTGGTCGTTCATCACGACTCATGCCATCAAATACTTCATCATCGTTGATATTCAGAGGTTTTTTCGTTATCATCTGCCGTGGATGGCAGGAATAAATTCCTTCGGCCATGCCACCGACCCTTGCTGCCATCTTCCTTAAAGAACTGTTAGCAGTCTAGTCCCGAGCCTTCGGAAGCATTGGAAAGTTACCATTCTGATGCACACAGATACCACCATACCCTTCGTCCGATCTCTGCTCGAGCTGTATTCGCCATGCTAGCATTGGATGGATGATCGATGCGATGAAGCCCCAAGTCTCGAGCCAGTACCACAGCTATAGCAAACAGCACGCGATATCGATGTAGACCATCGACGTGGGCTGCAACGAATCCCAGAATGATGGCCCCTTGAACACCTTCGATTGAGACCTTCGGTGATTGACAGGCCATATCGAGTACATCCTCAGTGGCTTTGATCCATAGAGAAGCCTGGTCATTGGCTCCCGCAGAAGTGGTGAAAAGACCATAGACACAGTCGCTTTCTAACCAAGAATGGGTCGCTGCCGCCACAATGCTTAGAAGCCAAACCACTTGACCCAACTGTATCTGGCGTTGCTGGTTTAAATCTGCGTAGATTTGTTCGAGAACAGAAGGAAGGGAGGAGATATGAGTAACATAAGGTAAATGATGGGCAACGCGGATGAACTTGTCCAGGAGTACTCGAGCCTCTGTCACTGGAGGCAACCAGATACATCTTGACAATTCAGAGGATCCTATGGTCCCAAGCTCGCGTGGGTATATGTAAGATTTTGCACTCGTGATCTGTCCAACCGGACATGTCCTGAACACAACTTGGCTTTTGGAGACATGAACCTATTCGGGCCATTAGTACAGGTTTGACAATGAAAAGACATAGCATCTTGGGAATTGTCCTGAAGGAAGGGTAAAACCCAAAAATCGGGTAAGGTTTCAACAACTTGTGTCTAGAACCCAAGAATCCGGTTCAGGATCAACTCACCGAAGGAATTTGGTCTAAAAATGCACTTTCTAGCCAAGAGACTTCACTGTCCACATCCAAAGTTTGGGCTTGAGGTGGTGAAGTTGCAGCGTGTACGAGCGGCGGTCGAGATCCTTCAACTTCCGGAGGCTGGCCACTCTGTCCATGCACGTCTATTTTCTGGGTGGCCAGCAGGTTCTCGAGCCTATTGAGCCGTTCAATAATCTCCGACGTTTCGGAAATACTTGGGGTGCTGGGAGTGTTGCTGGGATGCACCACGGGACTTTCCAAAGTGCAGTTGATACGCCGCGAGATACAGTTGGAGCAGGGGGCCATTCGATTGCATCGTAATTTTCGAGCCCTGCAGAAATGACAGGACACTGGCCTTTGGCGAGGTGCAACGTTTTTCTGACCTTTCATTATGGGGACGGAGTGTCTATGAAGTTCGGAAACTTGGGAATCAGCAAACGCAGGGTGGTCAGTGAGAAAAGGAGCATGAGCGGACTTTCCGTCAAAGCTCCGCGGAAGACAATCTGGTGGTCATTACATAAGCCACCGTACACTTGCCAACCCCTGCGATCATTCGTTGACGCAATCGCTGTTTAAATATCACGATATTGAGATAGCAGTGATATCTATCACTCCTGGTCTGGATTAAGTGTTTGACATGATCTCCAAAAAATCAAAGATTATAGAGTAAATGGCATAATAGAACACCAGTGTCTTAGACAATGCTTCAAATGGAACAGAAACACGATGCCAATAGGCGTGAGCTCAGATAAGATGACATCATTCATTATTTAAGAGAGAATATTTACACTAAGTATCATTACCAAATATTTCTCTATCCACCTTCTGTTGAACTTCTCTCACCAATACATAAAAGTAATACTACAAGTGGAGATGTCCTAAACCGCTATACACCAATACTGCTATTTATAACTCGCGTCCAGTTTTGTCCAGTTCTCAGATTAGAATTTGACCTGTGAGAGCCCGCTGTTTCGAATTCTTTCCCCAAACTTCCAGAAGATCAAAGGGACTGGCGCGAAGGCCACTGCTATGAAGCCTAGAAGTGATGTGCCCCAACCAATACCAAGCGCGTTGTACATGATATTCCCTGCTAATGGAAGCAAAGCACCAAGCAGTGAGCGAGAAACGATAGCTGCAGCAGATGCGGACGCAGCATAGATGGTGTAAGCGTCAACAAGATACCCTAATGACGGCATCTAGTGAAAGTTTAGTTTCCGTCTGTGGTCCCTCTCTGGCTGGACGACTTACTATTATAAAGAACCCAGCACCACCAAGCATGGCGGAGCCGATTATGGGAGCAATCCATTGGACCTTCTCCTCTGCTGTCCAGCCGTACATAAACAAGCCAATAGGAGCTAGAACTGCGCCGACAAACAAGAGAGGGAGTCGATATTCTGGCTTTGCTATTCCACCGTTGCGTTCTGTCAGGTACTTAACAAGACGGTCCGATGCCATACCGCTGATAACCAAACTAGCTAAAAACCCGACCCCGATGCCCAGATACACTAGCCCGATACTGCTATCTGTAAAGCCATATTGTCCTTCAAAGACTCGTGGGAATGTTGTAAACATGAGGTATTGGTAACCGTATATGGTGGCCATATAGAGAGACAAGAGTAGAACTATGGGCGAGAGGAACAGCATTTTGAGAGGCCGTACAATGGAAACTTTGAAAAGTTCTTTGGGGTCCTTGCCGCTATCAAGAGCGGATCGGAGATTTGGGTTGCCTGTTTCTTTTCGGAGGCGCTTCGTTTTTCGTGCGAGAATGGTTGGAGCGTGAGATTCTTTCAGGAAGAGCAGACTTAATAAGAACACTGCACCAGCCTAAAATAACGCGAGTAAGTCGGTGTTTGCAATATTCATGGTGGGAGCTTACGAGTATTGACACCAACCAGAAATTCCATCGCCATCCTTTGGCGTGAGTAAGATATCCAGCAACTAATTACTGTCAGCTTGATACAAACTTCAGAATTTAGTCCAATCTCACTCAGTGGGCCGACTGAAGGTCCTAGCACTGGCCCCATGATCCAACCCATCATTGCCATACCTCTCTTCTGTAATGGAATCATGTCCGCGACTGAGCCTGCCCCAATTGTTGCTGCATCATATTAGAACCACCGCTATATTTAATCATAGAACCCGAAGGTGATAAAGCCCTCGCCAGGATGCAGATACACCATATTCGAACCGGAGTGAGGATAGAGAACAGAAAAATAGTTGCTTACGTGGAGCACTCCCAGCAACGCCAGCGAGAAAGCGAAAAACAATCAGAGCACTCAGATTATTTGAAAGAGCACAAGCAACAGTCCAGATGACAAAGCCAAAATTACAGGTGTTGTAGACGATTGAGCGACCGTATAACTCGGAGAGAGGAGCCAGGACGAGAGGTCCGAAGACGTAGCCGAGTAGGTAGACGGAAGTCACAAATACTGCTATGGTCTCGTTTGTTGAGTGGAATGTCGCCATGATTTCTCCACTCGCAGGCGCGGTGATGGTAGATCCCAGAGGGCTGCTTATGTTAGCATCAACACAACTTGGATAGCCCAATGAGAGAACGTACGATAAGAAAGAAAGAGTGGAAACTATGGTAATAGCTGTGATCTTCTTCGCAGAAGACCAATTCATTGGATTTTCCGAGTCTTCAGGGCCCTCCCAATCGACAATGTTCGGGTCTTGTGTTGCATGCTCTGGGGAAATCGCATTCAAAGAAGCGTGATCGCGGATGGATTGTTTCTCGACATCGTCTTGAGATGAACGGTCGTTGTGAGGACTATCATTCTCTCTCCAGGGCGGGTTTGCTGCTGGTCGGAAGTCCAATTTGGTCTCCATTGCGCGAACGAAAAGGGATTTAAAAAGGCTGAATAAAAGCAATCACGTCAAGAATGATCAGAGAGTGGCCAATATATTGAATAGAATGAGACTGAATTTAAAGGAAAGAATTTGTGGTAGCAAGGACTTATGAGTTTATTCATGTTCTTCAAAACAAAGGGGCCAAACGGAAACTCCACCCATTCCCGCGGAGCGGTTCATGAGAGCCCCTGCATGTCTTCACTTTAGCTGGTCTATCACAGATACGGAGAAGCACGGGAAAGTAATAATCCGACCCAAGGCGGACTTGCCGTGGAGAGTTCCAGCGAAGTTCCCTACACGGAAAAATGTTCAACTTCTTCCACAGCTGGTCATGCCAGCGCGAACCAAACCCTGGCCGCAGGTATGATTGCCAAATGTGGCACTCAAATCACGGCCTTTGGCTTCGTGCCCAAATCTTGCTCATACCTGCAGGTATGTAGAATGTTGTGCGATTATGTATCTGACTACTTACTCGAAAGCAAACTTGTCCGTAGTTTCATGACGGGGTAAGAGAGAAAAAGTGTTGATGAGGGCGTTGTCTCAGACCCGACACGATATGCTCACCTATTATCCTATCTACGGCAAGCAAATATGCAGTGCGACTGGTATGTGGCGCAGTTCATATCGTTTCCTCGTACATTCTGGGCTCTGGGGGGTGAATATCGTGAAGTATTTCCTGTTCTCAGCTCGGATATATGTAAAAATATCATAAGCGACAACGAACCAACCCCTTGATCATGTTTGGCTCCCAACTTCAGACAGTGACTGGTCTTGATATGGTAACCATAGAGAACACTTGAAATCAGTCATGAGATGCAGAACACATATCGATTTTGAAGTTTCCGATAACCAGCTTTTCCGTCCATATTAATTAAAGATTAGGTTTCGACAGTTTTATTTCCTATGTCGCACAAAGATTTGGAAATCAGATCTTGCCCTATAATATGCCTCTATCTCAAATTCTGCACTTGTTTTCATCGGCCAAAGTACAAGACTCTTTCATGAAATATATCTCGCTGAATCAAAATGCATGCTACAAAGATTGTTCTCTTAGCAGGCGCTGCCGCAGCCCTCACAGACATTGAGCACAAGCGATTCATGTTTTCCCAGGGCGATATGTATCTCATATGCATTCGTTCTACGGCTCGGATGCTGCTACCAAAGATTTGCCCACAACTGAGCAGCTACAACAGGGGTGCCCGTCTGGCGAGAATCCCAATGATCTCTCTGTATACTGTACGTCGGAACCTTCTCAATTTGCGTCACGTTCAAATTCATAGGGGTTTCCAGGGGCTCCTACACTCTATTACGTGAATGAAAACAACTACACAGAGATCTTACCTGCCACCTTCAAGACATATTATGAAAATATCGACAAAGCCGAGATCCCATTTCCCCCAAACTTCTACGCTATTGCTGGCAACGCTTCCGCCAAAAGCCAAGCCGACATTGACGAGAGTATTACAGCTATTACATGGTGGTGTGATGCTGGTCCCGAAGACCGGAATACTAGGCCTCGAGCAGCATTCCCGCGGGTAACATGCAGCGCGCATATGCAAGCGATTCTTCGTTTTCCAGACTGCGTTGATCTGGATCATCTTACAAACCATACATATGCTGCCGCACATGGTGGTGCATGCCCGTCAGGAATGAAGCGAATGCCTTCTCTGCGGTTTTCAATTCGATATGATACTCGTAAGGCAATTCCACAAGGCTGGACAGGTGTTCCACCGTTCAAGCTAGCATGCGGAGAGGTAAGTGACTCATCGCTGATGTGTGTTGGATGACTAGAAGTACTAACACTACCAACAGATTGGCGATGGGTATTGTTTCCATGGAGACTTCATTAATGGCTGGTTTGATGATGCCGCAAAAACCATGCTGCAAGCAAAAGGTCAAAGTTTTATGAAAATCGATGGAGCACACGGGAATGGAAAACAATATAGCGCTTGCAAAGCACAGGATAGAGATCCGAATAATGGTACAAGCGATTATATCGAAAGTCTGGCCATGATGGGTATGTCTTGATTGAAAGGTCGTTGTCAGGGAGGAAAGGAGGTGGAAGAATCTCGGAAGGGAAATAAAGTCGGAGTTACCAATCTATTATATGCTTCCGAAGCTTTCATCATGTCAATGCCTTACATTATGGAAAGATGACAGCCACGGCAGTCTATAAATCACGCAGGATATATGTGTTTATATCTCCTGCACAAGACAAGAGGAAGATACAATTCTTGCCAGGATCATTATTCTCTTCGAAAAGCTAGATCGTGTGAGACTTTCATGTTCGGGCTTAGAGTTATCGGAATGGAGTGAAATTCTGGTGGTGAGACGAAAAGGCTTCTGACTTCAATACGGTGCCTTTTACTCGCGACCTTCTCACGGGGCCTCTTACAATCCCAAACGTGCGATGCTTCACAGATAGCGAAGTGTGAATATTTGGAGACACAATTACAATTGCATGTATCTACTTGAGTCTAATTAAAACTTAAGTCATATTGAAAAAGAGTGACTTAAACAGAAAACATGTTGATGCAGAATCGACCTTATAGCAGACACACGAAGAGACACCAGCCACACGCACACCCACTCTACACATTCTTTTACCCACAGATAGCTTGGACATCGTCGAGAGGTAGGCGCTGGGGATACCTTCCCGGAAGGGCAATTGCTCCCGCAATATCCTGCGCCAACTTGCTGGCAGAAGTCTCGCTGAAGAGACCCAAATTTGTCTGAGGCTGTAAGGTACTGAATACTGATGAAGTGCCACCCAGAGCACCAATTGGCTTCCCGTGGGTGTAAGCTTCTTGAATGAAGGCCTGCAGGTCGGGCAAGCTGGTATTGTTGCCAACTATGATCACAGCGTCGAAGAAGACACTTGATGAGGTGATATAACTCTGAGTCGCCGAGACTCCTCGTGTCAAGGGACCCTGATGCGGTGCAATAATGTCAAATAGCAATTGCTGCCCATCGAATACCTGCTGTATAGCTGCGAGGTCGCTTGTTGAAGGTCCAGCGCTGTCTGTGACGATTCCCACACTGAGCCCTACCACAGGCTGTGGTGTAGTGTACTGCAGAGGGTACTGAGAAGGGTACATAACTCCGGATACATTTGCAGTGCCCTCTTGAGCGGCAGGCAATGGGATTCCGAGGCCGTAAGCGACTCGGCGAGCCAGGCAATTGTCGATGGAATTGAGGACTTTGTTTACAAAGTTGATCTTAACATTCTGGTCAGCAACCAATCCGACCTCGAACCGGTAACCATCCACAGTATGCTGTTGGGAGTAATTGTCCTGGGAGTTGAAAAAGATGGCTGCTTGCATATACGGATCGTTGTTGAATTCATAACGTCCAATCCGTCCATTGAAATTTTGATTGCCATAACCATACGCCGTTGGACCTGACGCCTCATAAACGCCACCAATGCCATTGGGCGTTGAAGCGGAGTTGCCTTCGTAGATATACATTTGCATGAGACCGTCGCGAAAGTTGTTGTTCACTGGGACAATGGGAGAATTGACACCCATCTCAACGAAATTTTCAGACCCGTGGCGGTAGTGATGCTATTCAAAAATTAGTATACTCACTTGAAATTGTCTTCGTACTTGAGGAGCAAAGGCGAAGAGCTGAAGCATTCATTCGACAGAATATCTCTTCAGCACCCTTTGTGGTTTCGCTAGTAAAACATGACAAGAAAGTTAATTTAACTCACAGTCTCGTCGTAGGCAAGCAAACGCCAACTAATGACCGGATCTGGTACGAAGCTGATACCAGTTACAACATTTGCAGGACTGAATGCCACCTGTTCCGTCTCTGCGAAGTAGTTCGTGGGATTGCGATTAAGCGTCATCGTCCCTAGAGTTATGGGAGGGTTCTCTTCAAAAGGCACCACGATTGTCGGATCGAGGAGATCGTAGTTCTTGTACATGAATGCATCATTGTCAGGGAAAAGCTGGACCTTAAGATCATACTCTGGAAATCTTCCAGCCTCGATATTGTTGTATAGATCTGCTCGCTGAAACTGAGGCATCTTTCCAGCGATCTTCGACATCTCATCTGCCACGTTCGATCGGTAACCAAGTTTTGGGATGAAATACCACTTGAATAAAGTGGTGGCACCTTCCGCATTGATGAACCGGTATGTAGAAACGCCCGCTGATCCATGGTGGCGTGAAGTTCTGGGAATTCCAAGGTCGCTTAGCACGTTCATGACCTGGAATGCACTTTCAGTGCGTTGAGTGAAGAAGTCATATGCAGTTGTATGAGCAGCACCAACTATCATCAAGGTTAGCCGATACCTTGGACTTCATGCAAGGATGATGTGACTTACACGATGGAAACCCCGAATCAGGTTCTTGCTTGAGGGCATGAACAACATCGGGAAAGAGGAGTCCATCATTTACCAGAAAGGACGGAAGATGAAGTCCAAGCAGATCATGATTGCCACATTGAGTATAGAGTTTCGTGGCAAATCCACGAATGTCACGGTCGACATCCCCCCCTCCAGCTGGTGAAACAACAGTCGAAAATCGCGCAAAGGTATCAGATGATGCGCCAGCTTGCAGCCAGCAAGCTGATGTTAGGTTGCTGTAATCTCCGTTCGAAACGAAAGTTCCATATGCACCATGGCCAACGGCGTCTAGAAAATGGGCTGTCAGTACATCTCAGACTTGGGTGTCCATCTACTTACGGACCACTCTTTCCGCCTGACGCTCTTTGGCAAAATGAAGAACTTTCTTGCGACCAATGGTATCTTCCAGGAGGACAGGGCCTCGGGGGCCAATCTTCAGTGAGACCGTTGTGTTAACAGGCACACCAAGTTCTCCCGTTTCAGCCTGCCCCATAGTATTGCGTCTGAAGCCTGCCAATTGATCTTGCTATTGTGGTGTCAGTAATTTTAACTAGAAAGACATAAGCGAGTATGCAGCTGCTTGTTCGCTGTACCTTTGGTGTCTGCGAAAACACAGCTAGCGGAAGGCTCAAAGCCAGACTGAAAGATAAAGTGAAATGCATCTCGTAATTTGTGTGCTACGACTCGTAGCAAGACTAGATATTGATTTTGATCTATGGGATCATGTAGAGCAACGAAACACAATATATATGTATTATCATTCTCACTCAGCCTTTGGAAAACCCCAATATTGTTTCCATCGTTGTCAAATTGTTGAGGTAATGTAGCTACACAAGATAAGCATACTTCTCGTCACCAAGTGCTTGGCTGTGCAACATGGCTTGTAGCATGGAATCAAGCCGTACACGAAGAAATCTGCCTGCGCATAAGCGCAGTATCCCATCAAATGAACGAAATAAGCACGCCTATTCAGATTCTACCACCCATCCGAAGATGAGCGCCTGACTTGTACGGAGGATGGATTTCGATGGAAATTGGATTAGAGGCAATGAGCCTCGCTGTCAGGCCATTGGAGAGTCTCATACAGGGGATATTCAAGAAAAGTAAGGTTAAGATGCAGCGGTGCTGTCAAAGAACAAGCTTATGCCTTGAAGTTTAGAGACATTTTTGGAATCATAGTGAGGCACATGATTATTGATCTTGCAGCGCCATGGGCAATCTAAATTTATGGGCTTCTGTGGCGAAGGAAACAAGACATGGAAAAAAAGGGGTAAGGGATGGAATTAAGGGCGGAAGTGCTGAAAATCAGAGTGTTAGTCCTGTCGTGGGGCGTGGAAGCTTCGTTCGTTACCTTGCCTCTACCCCGCCACAAATGATTCCAGCACTCATCCAACGCCAATTTGCTTGTACGTGTCGCAATCAGTCAGACGACTTTACTGGACTGAAGGGTCTCGCAACGTGTTTCGCGCCGTACCTTGTCAGCCCTTCAATACAGGTTAGACTGAAATCATATTAACATCGTGTCCCGGGCGAAGGAGAGCGTAGCCAGAGAATACTTGCTTCCTCCACTTATCTTCTCTAACCGCATAGGTCGAAATGGATCGTCCAACAGGTACAATCTCAACAATATCTTTACTTGTGAGCAAGTGTTTTGAGAGCTAGATTTGCAAACAACAATATTGCGGCAATTTTCGCGTGATAGCGAAAACTCGAAGTACGCATCCACTTGTACAGAACGCTCATGTGCCATTAGATATTCGTGCACTTGACCTGTTCAGAGGGGTGCATGAAGTTGCATAGTGCGAGAGGTATTGAATGTGGTTGCAATTGGCCAGAACACATCTATTAAATTGGTTTGAAATAGGAGAAACATCTAAATGTATATACTCGTGCCCTCTGTTCAAGATCTTCGACCTAATCCCAACAATTGTCAACATCAAATTTTGCCTTTGATCCAATTGAAACGGTAGTAGAGAAGAGCCAGCAAAGATACCCCTCTCTGCAACTTCCTACTTCGACGAGATTAAATGATTCGAGAAATTAATTTGTTGTTGAGACAAGCAACTCTTTTGCCTCTGAACTACCTTGCCCGATCGCTCGACTGTTGAAAGCTGCTTCGATTCAGTTATCCCACTGGATAGCCCCTGGTTGGAATATTGGGCCGAAGATGTGAGTGCAAAATATGCACTGGTCAATATCCAGAGTGAGAAAAAGATCCGCAAGCCTTTGGGGAAGACCAAATATACCCACAAGGTCAGAAAGCTGGAATTGTCAAGATGTGGTGACCCCGAAAGCCACTCGGGCAATAAAACCACAAAACCTCCGTATAGCTCTCCAACCCCTATTACTGCCATCCAGAACCATGCTTTCGTGTGTTCGTTCTTGTACAGCAAATGACAGACGTATAGTGACAGAGGGGCAACGACGAAAACCATAATCATCTCTACGCCGGTTATCGTCAGATCGGACCCACCCCATCGTGTATCCGCCTTCGCATACTCTTGCCAGAACCTTGCAGTCAGAGATGTGCCGTAAAAAGACCCGTACAAGCGCTTCGAGTTCCCGAGGAAGGAGACATTCACCGGAGTGAAGGGTGTGGAATGCAGACCCCAGGTGTAAGTGGCATCGAGCTTGGACATGGAGGTGAAGAAGACATTATAGAGATATGAGACTTCGAGAGTTAAATGGGTAAGGGCGCCAAAGAGGTGCCACGTGAAGAGGATGCGGACTTTGGTACTCGTTGCTCTATGCAAAAGGGCGAAACAGCAGACACCGGCGATTAAGAGAAGAGTTGCGACTGAGGAGATGGCAAGGATGCTCGTTCGATCGAATATGGGAGAATCTTCTAGCTTCGGGAGTCTGTGAATGGACATCGGGCAAGCCATGGCTGAAGATCAAATGAAAATGGACAATAGGCAAGTGACGCTATCAGGAGTATTTCAGCCAAGAAAATAGCTGGAGAGAGTGAAGAGTTCAAGTAGGCAGTAGGTATTTTTGTGACTGCGCTCGCATTTTATGATATAGAGCAGTCCTCAGCGTTACGCCGCAACTCTCGAGGTTCAAGCTGCATGTGTCGTCAAAATATGATTCCACAGCAAACAGTGTCAAATATATGTGCTTACGCATTCGCGTGAACGGGGACTTTTTTTCGCCGAGCACCCTTAATGGCAGGGATATTGCAGCAGTGTAAGCAAAGTGGCTCAGCCATGTACACAGAAGCCTGGTAATTCCACATTCTATTCGCCTTGGCGTTTTTTTGGAAGTTTCAATTCTATGGTTCCAGAAACTTGGATGAGAACGTCGGTTACCATCAAAGATAGGTCATAGAAAACAAAACGAATCCGAGGGAGTGTTTGAATTCAGATGATCAATCAATGACTGCCGATACAATATTCCATCTCTCAAACGACGCATCCCTCACAGTATTCTCGCCCTACTCCTCTCCCCCTTGAAGAAGATTCGGGTCTATGATGCGTTGTTAGCATTTTAAATTGTTGATGAATGAACTCCACGTGCCTAGAATGGGATTAACCAAAAGCGTATTATCGAACACGTTGAAAGATCTTGCTTGGGTCCAAATGTCGATTCTATCCCAATTGACGCAGGTATGCTCGTGGCTGAATCGTGGCTGTGGAGCAGATTTGTATGGCACCCAATCGAACATTAGAAGCTCTAAGCTGGGCAGACACATGATATTCCTCCGAAGGTTTTCGATGCAATGATCTGTTCAATCCACACTGATGAGCGAACGAACTATGGCCACAGAATATAGAGGTTAGAGACATAGTTACCAGCATGTTTAGTCGTGGTAGCATTTAATCGAAAGTCGTAGTATTCAGGATATATATACCAGCGCAAGAATTTCTAGTAAAAGTCAACGAAAGTGTGCTCACTTGTTCGGAGAATGTAGGGTTATTACCAAACAATGAAGCTTGTGGTGGACATCTATGAGGAGGATATTATTAATATTTAGCATCGAGAGAGAGTATTATTTCCTAACCAAGATTTGCCAAGTTACCGTTGTTGTCTGACAAAGGGATCGGCGTGCGATCCAGTTGGCTCATCTCTTCGGTGGATACTCTCAAGTTTGAATTCTTGAATAATCTGTCCCAAGCCAAATCGAGCTCGTAACTTGGTGATCCGGTATAAGGAGATGCGCGCCCGATGTCGACGGCCAAAAGTTGAGTCTCCCACACCACTGCATCCTTTATATAACCTGAAAGTAATCAATATTGCTTACGAACATGGGGACAAAAGTCCGTGCGTTCAGGCTGTAGAACCTCGAAATTAAAACTCTTCACATTAGGACTAAACTATCAACAACTCCACCATTATGGATCCTTTTACCACTCCACCTATGTCTCCACGTCTCCCAGGTGCAGAGATCAGAACCAAGCACAAAGAGGGCATACGCCGGCTCTTCAAATTCGCTAAAATAGGCCTGTAACAGCTCTAGGGCTACTACCACCTAGGAGACAGCACAGTTAGGAAGATCCTACTATACGATGTGCCTGAAAGAGCGCGC